AGCTTTCGTAGTGCAGTCCAATATTCCATTTGAATAATCTTCTTCATTTGAATGTGCTTCTTCTTTAGGGTATCAATGATCGTGGCATGCTTCTCTGACATTATGGTTATATTATGAAGGAAGTTTTGAATCTTTTGATCACTCTCTTGAATAATTTCTGATGTTTGTTGGTTCAAGAGTTCCATTTGATCGTCAAACGATTGTTGATGAATCATGGATTGATCTAGACCCACTTCATCACTTGTGGTCGAGATGCTATCATTAAATGCAACTTCTTTTTTGAGAACTGGTTGTTTCCATGAAGAGGAGTCTTCAATTGAAATGGACTTGGTGATATTTCTCATCTTGCCATTGAGAATTCTATTTTGTTCATAGAGAGCTGCAATTTCATTCTCCAAATGCAAACAATAATCCTTCATACTCTTCATTTCTTCTGCAGTGTGGACATAATTCGACTCCTCAATTTGTGCCAAGACACTCTTCAATCGTTCGAGTTCCTTGAAAAATACTTCTTTCAAGAATTTCACATCGGAATCTGAGCCACCACAAAATCGTAAACCACCTTTCAAATTTTCAAGAGCGTTCAAATGATCCTTGTGGAGCTTGGTTAATTCCTTCTTGAAATTAACTTCAAGCTTATCTGAGAGCTTTCCTTGTTTGCTCTCAACCACCAGTTTCTTTGTCAATTGTTGATTCTCTTCCATGAGTTTTTCGTATTGCGCTTGCAACAAATCTTTTTGCTTTCTTTCGAGGATCAAATGTTCGGTGAGAGTCTTTTTCTCTGATTCGTGTTGGTTCCTTAACTGTTGTTTTTCTTGTTCATTTCTTTGGAGAGAATTATTCTTTTCATCTTCATACTTTTGAATAAGGTTGTTTTGAGTGAGAGTGAATTGTTCTCTCAATCTTTCAATTTCATTCTCCAATCTTAAAGTTTCTAACTTTTGTGTGGATCTTTCCTGTTCAAGAGTCTCTTTCAATTCTGACATGGACTTTTCATGAGCTTGCTTCAATTCGCTAATTGTCGAAGCGTGCTTTTCCAACATCTTTTGAATTTCATTTTCATAGAATACTCGTTGAGAATCAGCGTTGGACTTTTCCTTTTCACAAGTATCGAGTACCACCGACTTTTCATGATCCATTCTTTCTTTGAGAGATTTAATCTGAATTTCATAACTCTCAACAAGTCGCTTCTTTTCTTGTTCATATTTTTGAACAGTTGAAAGATTTTGTTCTTGGAATTCAATTTGTAATTGCTCCTTTTCGTTGGCGTGTTTGTCCAGCAATTCATCAATTTCTGCTTCGAGTTTGGATCGCATCATCGTCTTCTCCTTCTCGTGTTGAGAAATGAGCATGTTTCTTTCATTTTCGTGTTGTTGAGCGAGTTGCTTCTTCTCCCTCTCGCATGATGACTGTAATGCTTCAACTTCCATTTTACATTTCTCAAGGGTGCTATTGATTTCATTGTTGTACTTGTAGACAAGCCGTTCCTTTTCCTTGACCATTTCTTCCTTTTCTTTGAGGACAGCTGTGAACTTTTCAACAAGAGTGTCCTTTTCTTTGGAATGTTTTTCCATGAGGAGAGCTCGTTCATTGTCGAATTTATCCTTTTCTGATCTCAACTTTTCTTGAAGTTGTTCCACCTCTTGTTTGTGCTTTTCAATTAAGGCATCTCGTTCTCTCTTATTTCTTTCCATCATTTCATTCTTTTCATGAATAGCTTCTTGCATTAGTTTGAGTTTTTCATGATTGAATTGATCAATAAGTTCGTGTTTTTCATTGACCAATTTTTCAATTTGCAATCTCTTTTCTTCGTTGAGTTGTTCAATGAGTTGTTTCTTATCTGAGCTCAACGTTTCAGAGAGATTTAACTTGTCTTGAGCGAATTTTTCAGAAAGATCTTTTTGTTGTTGTATGAGCTCTTGCTTTTCTTCTTCCATGAGTCTGATGGTCTTATTAAGTTCAGTCTTTTGTTGAGAAAGCTTTTTCTCAAAATCAGAGGTCAACTCGGACAATTCATTTTCATGATCTCGCATCAATTTGGTGATGGTATTTTCGAGATTGGTAATTTTGTTTTCGAGATCGCTTTTTTGAAGTACGAGCTTGTCAATTTCTTTTTTGTGTTGAGTGGTGCGCTCTCGGGCTGCTCTCTCTTCATTCAATTGATTCTCATCGATCCTGTACAATAGATTCACGTTTTCTCTCGTGAGCTCATCAATTTTACGCTCATATTCTTTCACTTCATCCTTCATTTGATTATTTTCAAGTTTTAAATCCTGAATTTCTCGTTCCATACTATGAATTTTAGAGGATAATTGTTGATTGGATTGATTTTCTTCTCTCTCAGCCAGTAATTTTCGCAATTCTTGTAATTCTTGCTCCATTTTCGCATTCTTTTCTTTGAGTGCAATGATTTGATTTTGTTGTTTGGCTGGCATGTTTTGCATTTGCGATGTGATGAATTGTAATTGATTTTGTATCGCACTAATGCTGTCTGTACTCACTGTAGAGTCGGCCAGTGAGTTTGCCAAGCTGTCATTCAAAGTTCTTGTGGATCGGATGGGTGAAGGTCTTTTGAAAATTGTTTCGAGACATTTTTTAATGTGATTGGATGATCATTCCGGTGTATTTCGTATCCGAAGGTGTTGTTTTTTTGTTTCCACTTACCTGCTGTCAAGATGTTGACTTTGAAGTTGTAAGATGGCATTTCTGGCTTCTCCAAGTAGCTTGTTTGTTGCTTCCAACCTCTTTTCTCCTCGGCTTAGATATAATTTCTAGGGAACGGATTGTATAAGTTCGAAGAGTATGAATCAAACGACCCACCTACCAATTGTTCCTTATCCATCGAGTCCTCAACAGAAGCTTCTGAACTACTCGTTACATCAAATTCGTCCGAATAATTCATGGTTTTATCTCGTGTTTTATTTTTCGAAGTAATATCAAGTATTAATTATTATTAATGTTGATCTCTTTATAAATCCAGCTTCGATATGTCGAGGATAATCAAAGGAAAGCACACGGCAACGAAGGTGTGTTCAGTTTGTTGATTTGAGGATTTTTTTAATGTAATGAAATGCCAAAATTTTGGCGCAAAATTTTTCCCGCCTTTCGTATTATTCAACATCGAAACATTCTTTGTCACCGTGATCAACCAACTGCAGTTTGATATTAATACTCCAAATAAATAGTCAAAAAAGATGATGACTGACCATTAATCCACTTGAATAACGTTCATGACATTTTTGGTGAGACTCGAAAAGGAAATTCCCTCTATGGAGAATTACACTCGCTCGAGCGAAAAGAGTTTGGAAAACCATTCTTTGGAAACTTGTGAAATCCAGTCATGATCCATATTGAAGCATTTTCTCTCCTCATTCCAATATCCTATTAAAAGTAATAACAACGCACAAAAACTCCTCAAATGTATGCATTCCAACTCGATCGACGGAAAAGCAATCTTTGCAAAAAACCAAATTGTGTGTGTCCTACAACAACAACAAAATAAGAACACTTGTCATCCTCACCAAAAAGATTGCCACACATCCATCAAGCAAGTGCATTCGTTAAATAACCTTCCTTAACAATGGCAAATTACCATCCATTCAACCACAAAAACAATGATCACCACTCAGCCATCACCATTCCAACACTAACCTCAACCCCAAGGTCATCCTCTCGTTGTTGGATGGCGTTGGAAATTTTGGCCACCCTTCTCTTGTTCCTTATTCTCTCCTTCTCTACACTCTGCCATGGTCAGCAGCAATCTTTCTCGTCAAGCACCTCTGCCCTCCCTCTCTCTCGTGCCTATCAATACAATCAATCATTGAGAGAGGACGGTTCATTTGATATATTGTGGTCCATTGACGAATCGACTCAAGACTTGTACATGGCCATGTCGGTTCGAACGTTAGGTTGGGTCGGCTTTGGTTTTCATAGTTTTCGAGATCCATACTCACCAACTCCAGTTCAAGTTCAAGGCATGTCTCGAGTCGATATGGTGATTGGTTGGAAGGATGGAATAAGTGGAGTGGCCCATGTGTATGATACGTTTGCTGTGTCAAATTCAAGACCTCTACAAGATGTTCAGTTGTAAGTAATAGTCGTCGTAGAAACATCAGTTCATGAATTGGTATTGTATGCATCGACTGTCATTCTTCATGTGTTGAATCTCGTTTTAAAAACTTGTTCATGACGCAACAATGATGCTGGTAGAGGTGGAAAGGCAGATGTACATTTGGTAGCTTCCTATGAAGGCAATGGAAGAACCATTATTGAATTTAAGAGAAAACTCAACACTGGAGATGTTTATGACGTGGCCATTCAACGAAACATGTCACTGATTGCCCTGTACGCTTATTCACAATATGACCCAGCAAATAATGATTACAATGCACTTCCCATACATTCGGTGGATTCATTTGCAGTGATTCCAAACTTTTGGCCACACCACCCACAACTTTCACAAAATCAAACCAATTCGACACAATTATCAGGCAACACGACCTTCACTTTTGGAAGTGTGTCTATGACCAATGGAACTGTCTCAAGTAATGGCACAGATATGAGTCACGAAACGAATAGGACCAGCTCTTCGACAATCTCCTCTTACAATAATATTAATAATAATACCAACAACAACCATAATGGAACAGTGCCACAAACAAATCCTCCAGCAAAACCTTCTTTATCAGGTGGTAAAACAATGGCCTCTTCTTCCTCGTCCACTAACTTGTCTCCGTTGTTCTCAAAAATAGTGAGTAAGATTCCTCCACCACCACACGGAAAATCTCAGGCAGCAGAAAATAAGCACATGAATTGTGCTAGAGGGTTGACATTCTTAAATGTGAAATTTTGCATTGTGTATGCGTTGGTGGTGCTGATTGTAAAATTTGCTTTTGAGAAGTAAATTTTTGAAATTTTATGTCACGAAACGAAATTATTGTCCAAAATATGAACGGGGATTGGCTGGTTTTGATCCAACGACCGTGCTTTCCAAAGACAGGAGGTGATGATTCACTGCTCTATAGAGCCCGCTGAGCTACAATCCCCGAAATGAGAGTTGTTCAGAGTAACAAGTAAAGGTGTCACAGAAAAAAAATGTCATCCAAACGAATAGTGATGAGCTTTAGGTGAGTGAACAAGGATAACATAATTGTGTTACATAAGTCTCGATGGCTGTTCCTCCGATGCTTTTGTGTTCAAAATATTTTTTTCTCGTTTTGGTTTCTCACATTACAATGTTCTGCATATTATCATGATGAATTTGTTTATTTATTATTTTAAATATCACGAATTGATTTCTTATGGGATATGAAAAACCTTTAATTTATTATTTTCATAATATGGAATGACATAATTACTGTGGTTAAAAAATTATATTGCTGTTAAACAAAAATATATGTGGGGATAATTTGATTTTTTAACCATGTTTAACACCAATAATCATGGTGGAATCATCATGATGCATACACAGCAAAATCGACACATACCTTTCATGCCCTCATCGCTATTACCTCACCTATAAGGACCCTACTGTCGTTGCCAAAACAACGCCTCCCATGATTCGAGGGTCTGCCCTTCATGATTCGTTAGCTCATGTCGCCAAAGTGTACAATTTAGTGTACCAACAAATTGATGCTCAATCTCATCCTTTGGGTCGAAAGACTCCTTACCTTACTCCGATAGGAAACTATTCTAAAGAATACGTACCTGATAAGCCTCGTTCTAACACTCGTTATGAGCATGAAGAAAACTCAGCCTTCAATATCAAGATTGCTCGAACCATCGCCCACGAAATTAAAAAGGAGAGAAATTTAGAGGGTGGTATGATGGACTGGACTGGAATGCTGGTGGATCGAGCCATCAAGATCTACAACAAGGTTCTTGTGGGTAGTGGTAGAGCCTCAAATATGTGGGTTCCAAAACCTATGGCTGAGGAAGGAAAACGGATATTGCAAGATCACGTATTAAGGGAGCTTACCACGGTATTGGCTCCACCATCTGCCATGTTTCAACAAAATCAACAATTATCATCATCATCATCATGGAAGAATCATTCTTCTTCTCCGGATTGTCATGAAAAGGAATTCAATGATGCAATTACCCATGAAAACCATACTACTACTACTACTCGTAGTAAGAATAATACTACTCATCATCATGAAAATAATAACATGAAAGAGCAATATACTCCTGAATCGTTCGGAATGGAAGGCACACGGTTACCCCTTCTCATTGAAGAGCCGTTTGTCTTGAAAAATATCGGAGGCAGAGAAGATATTGATATGGTTTTTATATTTGATCGTGTCGACTTGGAGAGAGACAAGAAGAGTGTTGTTGGAAATGTAGGATGTGCATTCACCTCTCCATTCAAACCATTACCCACCGATAAGCACGTATTGGTTGAATATAAAACGAAAATTAAGCCACACAATGTAGAGTTGTACAGAACACAACTTGCAATGTATCACTATGCTTTTAAGGAATTATTTGGAATTCCTGCGGATAAGAGTTATTTGACGTGTATTGATAGTGGAGCTGTCTATGAATTTGATGACTCTGAATTTGATTCTATGGATACTGAATTTATGATTATTGATTGCGCTGACAATAGTAAGTTTTTTTTTGTTTAAGGCTAAGATTGAATCAAGAATTCAATGATCTTTTGTGATTCTATTTTCAATTTGAAAAATCTATATATTATTCAACTCATTAATTTCCATTTAATTTCCATTCACTTGTTCAAATTACCACGATAATTAATCATACAAATATCATATTAATTATTTACCACGATAATTATTATCATTAATATTAATATCATTAATATCATTATTTAATATTAACCATTAATCAATAACAAATAACTATCATTAATTCCATACCTTTTCGGATAGTTTTGGAAGATACAGAATGGAAGCCACATCCCTCTAAAAGTAAATGTTATAATTGCACTGTAAGACATGCATGTAAATATGCATGGGATCCACAGAGGGAGTTAGTACAAGAACAGATCCGACGAGGAGAGGAAAGAAGAAGGGAGAGTGAAAACTTTGAAACGTGATAAGATGCAAGAAGGGAGTGTCACAAATATGTTAATGGTACTGGATGCCCATCGAACCATGACCTTCCTCTCGCAATGAGAATTTGAAGAACAATATGCGTAATATTGGACATGGACACACCATGTCAATTCATTTGGATAATATGTTAAAAGTAAAACAAGTCTTTCGATTGGGTCTATCAAATCATCGAGTTTTTTATTACCACACAAGGTTCCATTTTGGAACTCCGCAAGTGTCAAAATCAAAGGGCTTTCTCCAATATTACATCATCATGAAATTAAAATCAATACATGAAACGATATTCTTATTTTGGTCAGTAATGACAATAGTTCCTTGGTAAGGACCACCGGATGGTGCCATTGGTGTAATTTGTTGAGTAATTGAGAGTGTTTGTGGACCTTTGGCGAGAGGACATTGATTTGAAGAGCCAGCCAAGAATTGACAAGGATCAAAAGGACCAGTGTACATTGGAGTACCAGCATAATTGACAGAAACTTGTCCAGCAGATCCAGCAGCCATTGGTTCAGTCAAAGTACCTTGAATGGTGACTTGCAAATTATTTCCTGCTTGAGGTGGGTTCGGATTCAATGTAACCGAAGAAATTTGCAATGTTTGTTGTGGATAACGCTTACAAATACTCCATGTGAGTGGATCTTGAGCAAATACGCTGCTCATCATCATCATGGCCATCATCAAGACGACACAACAACAAAAGGAAAATCTCATTTTTCAAAAATTCAAAAAAATCTCTTTCTCACAAGAAGACAATTTTTTTTGAGGATTTTTTTCAAAACTCCGACGAAACAGTTCCGATGAGAAGAATAAATATTTGAAAAGGAACTGAAGTTGATGAGGAGGAGGTTGTGTTCACAATCATCGCATTGATTGTTGGTGGTGATTCATACTCAATCGGTTTGTGCAAATGACCAACAACCTCCCATTCAAGACTAATGATGGAAAGCCTTGTTTGTTTACTGTGATTAGAAAAAAGCAATGGGAATTCTCAATTCTTGACCGTTCGACACTTGACGTTTTCAAATCGCACCTGAGAAAAAAATGCGCAAGCCTCTCTCCACCTCAACCATCGATGCTTCTGCAACTTCAACTGCCCCGACGCAACTCTCCACCACCACTTCGTCTTTCGATTACGTTGATCTTGATTCCATTAGTGATGAATTAATTCCATTTGTAGTCTTCCTTTCATGGATCCGGTGGTTCACAATCCATCCTCCTCATCCTCTGAGTGTGGAAACACCTTCTGTCGTTCATGTGTCCAATCCTGTAAAGTGTGTCCTTTCTGCCGAGGAGAAAATTTCCAAAACGAGTGTTCTGCCGCGCCAAAAATCATTTCCAAACAATTGGAAAAACTCAAAGTGATTTGTAGTATGTGTAAAAATGCAGTATGTCGTGGCGAATATCATGATCATCAGGAAAAGTATTGTCTACTTCATGATAATTATATGTCCAAGTTGAACAAAAAAAAGTTGAAATGGAAAAACATTTTCAAAATGAATTGCAAAAGAAAAAGTTGAAACTTGAAGAAGAACGAAATCGTCTCCAGAAACAGCTCGAACTCGAACGCCTACAATTTAACTCTCAATGCCATGAAAGAAGAACTCCAAAAACAACGGAAGAAATTAGAAGAAGAATTCACTTCTCGATATCAAACAGAAATGTCACAAAAACCCATTCATCTCAATGTAGGAGGTCAGTTCATGCCAGTGTCTATTGGTGACTTGATGAATCGAGAGAGAGAACCAGATTCATTGTTTTTGAAAATGTTGACAGGTGACCATCCCTTTTATGAATCAAAAATATTTTCCATGAACGGTCAACATGTTGACAACTTGAGTGGGAATTCCGTCTCTCTAAATAAGGTCAACAACACAACCACTGCTCTCTCGACACTCGCAACAACAATTACTGTCGGTAGTGGCTGCAGTATTAATACTTCCACTTCCGATAGTTTCACCTTTTGTGATCCTAGCAAGATGTCCACAACTGCCAACGCCACACCTGTTTCATTCAATAGTAGAACGACTATGAATGAAAGTAATACTTCTAAACTTCTGGAATTTAACGCTTCAACAACTACCGGAGTTGGATTTCGTCACCAATCAGGAACCCCTGCAACAACCAAAGGTGAAGAAGATTTTAAAAAACCTGTCACAACAAGTCAAGGAGGATTTACCTTTGGAGCAACTGGAGTGAGTTCCATTGAGGATTCCATCTCTCTAAAAAGTAGTAAAGTCAATAACAACACCACCACAACTACTCCCTCGGCACTCGCAACAAGTACTATCAGCAATGGCTCCTTCGGTTTTGATAGTTTTTCTTCTAACAACCAAATCTCCACAACTAACAATGCTACACCCTCTGTATTCAATCTAAGAACAAATTCGAATGGAAACGATGCATCAACAACAAATGGTGATGAGTCACAAGTCAAGAACTCTGTCCCAACATCCTCTTTACAAAACAATGGTGACACTTTGAAAAAGATAGAAATGAAGCCTTCAACAAATTTCACATTTTCATATAGCAAACCTGTCACAACAAGCACAGGTGGATTTAACTTTGGCTCCTTCCCCACCACAAGTAGTATCAGTGGAGCTGTTAATAATAATGCAAGTGTGACCGACAGTAATTTGACCATTCCAAAACTTAATATCCAAAAGAACAATTTGAGTGATGAAAAAGTTTATTTTGTAAATTGTAATCCGGTTGTATTTGAACACGTATTGAGATGGCTTCGTTATGGAATTTTGAACGAGGATTTAGACTCGTCTTTGTTGTCAGAACTGAAAGTGTTTTGTAAGGTTTTCCAACTCAAAAAGTTGGAGAATGAGGTGGACAAGGCGAAAAAACAATTGAACACAAAAAGAGAAAAAATTACACAAAAACAATTCTTGAAAATTTTGAATACGTCCACCAAATTGTCAAGCAGGACATCTGTCTCTTTAAATCTCTCAGGATTGGACATGACTGGGTTGAGAATTTGCAACGTGAATATGAGTGGCAGTGATATTGTGGATTCTTTATTATCCTATGCTGTTTTAGAAAATTCCAATCTCTCCGGAAGCAATTTGTCAAACACTAGTTTCGACGATGCTTCCTTAGAAAATGTGAATCTTTCTGGAAGTAATTTGACAAAAACTCGTTTCTTCTTTGCTTCCTTAGAAAAGGTGAACTTCTCCAAGTGCAATTTAAAGGAATGCATCTTTGGTTATACTCAGAAAATGGTAGAATGTGACTTTTCAGATGTAACTAATTTGGATAGTTTGTGGAAAGCCACAAGACGTTTTGATGTAGAGTCTTGGGTATTTTCCAATATAGTGTGGTTGGTTGATCATAATGATACAACGGACAAAACCTTTTCAAATTCTACTTTCTCAAACATTCAGAGTTCAAAAAGGTGCCTGGTAGATTGAATGAATGTACCTTGAAAAGCTGTAAATTTGAGAAGTCGACTCTGAAACACGACTTTATCACTTCATGTAAAAACAAGTTTTTAGCTTGCAAATTGGATCAAGTCGAATTGGACAAAGACGATTTTCGCAACAATTCTTTCGAAAAATGTACATTCACAAAGTGCAATTTGGAGGATGCTGACTTGAGAGATGACTCTTTTTCTCATCCACCGACAATGTTGATAATGTATTCTCATCTTTCTCAACTGGTGGATCGTTAGTTTTCTCAACTGATGGATTTTCTCTAAAGGTGATTGCGTCACATAGATGATGTTGTAAAGATTGTAACAAGTGATGCGAATGATCTAATGGCTTCCGTGCCTTTTCTTCGCAATTTCTGTTCTTTTCATTTCGTATATATTCATTAAGTTTGGAGTTTAATTGTTTGAGGGTAGCTGAAATCTAATTCGCTTGTTGTTCAATTCTTTCCAAACGTCTTTCCAGGCTGTGGAGCATGCAAGAGTCAATTCTGATGTTCATCTTGCGGTATTTTTTAAGGGCTTGATAAACAACAAAAAAATGATCAACAAGAAAAGTACATCTCAGACACCAACAAAATCCGGAACATCATCATCTCTGACTAGAAGCCGAGAAATGAAGAAGATTAAGAAGAGTAGTTTGGAGGAATCCGAAGAGGTGAAGAATTTGTTGGACAAGATTTCTCAGCATGATGATGCAAGTCCATTCAAATTTGCAACAAATGAAGAAGATAGGCTATTCCACTCCTTGATTTCTATTGAGGTAAGCTTTTCAATGAATAATTGCAACCTGTGTCCGTCATCAAAACACGTAGAACGAAAATATTGCCATTACAACAAATCCATTGTATGAGGAAATATCAAACATTTTTCATGAACAATTAAACGTGGCCACTGAACAGAGCTCCTCCTGGAGGGACTATTATTCCTTTATCAGCAAACTAAATAAGATTCTCACAAGTCAAGAAGATTCAAGATCAATGATTAATGAAGAAATATTTGCTCAACTGAAGGATCTTCCATCTCAAAGAATAATGACTGTGTATAATGAATTTCTACAATCACAAAAGTCTCTTCCTGATGTTTGGGAATCCACTTTGATGGGAATGATTGTTAATATTCTTAATCACCAATTTAAATTTAGGAAAAACATTATTTTCGGAACGTATAAACATTCATCTATCAAAACAAGTCAAGAAGCAGTCCAATATGTTGACTCATATGCTGTTAAAGGTACATCACTCAAGAACAAGGCAAGACTAATTCCAGACGCGTTTGCTCAGATTCATATTTTTGAAGACCAACCTTTCGTGTTCTTTAAATGTGAAGGACAGAGAGCTGAAACATGGACACACAAAGACCATTTTAAAATATATATTGAAATGAAAGGCATGCTTAAAGACTGTATGTCCATCCTTTTCAAAAAAAAAAGCGCATTCTTATGAAAATGCACAAAAGATCAAAGTTTACGGTTTACTAGTATCAAAGTTTCAGTGCATGTTTCTTGAAGGATCTATCAAGATACACGATGATCACAATAGCTCAGACGGAATACCTTTTGGTTACACCATAAGAGAGTCCGATATTTTTAATTTATCTTCCACGGAGGGAATTGTTGCACTAACAACATTTATTGAAAGTATGTGCGAAAATGTTTACAATTTAGAATTTAATGAGGAGGAGTTTGAAGAAAATGCACGCCTTTCTTCCTCAAGCACACCAATGAGAGCAAAAACTCAGTCATTAGAAAGAATTGTAAAGGAAATGGATGTGAGATTTGGTACAAACATGCCGTCTTCAATGCCCACAACTTCATTTGAAACTCTTGAAGAAGGAAAACGAGTTTCAAAGAAAATTCTTTCTGGAATGTTTGTTATTGGAGAGCAAATTGAGAAAGAACAAGCAAAAGCTTCCAATATTGTTTATATATTCAAGACTTCGAATCCATATATTTTTGTCAGATCATTCGACATCACCTCATTCGTTGGAATATTTTATTGGGCTGAAACGAAATTTTATGATCTGAGATCTTATCTATTTTCTCTCTCTATTAAGAAAAATCAAGAACAATTATGGATGAAAATTCTTGACGAACATCGAAGCGATGACTCAAGAAGTCGCAATGAACATGAACACGATGAATTAAGTAGAAATTTCCACCATGAACACAATCAACAATCAAGAGGTACCTCTTTTGAATCAAATTTCAAGTATATTCCTGACCCAATGAATGAAATAGAGTGTGCTATTGTTTTAGAGGAACTATTGGCCTTGAAAAATTTCCAGTTCTTACTAAACTCTATGAGATGCGATACATCATGCACCAGTTTTTATGGTTCTGCATTTTCTCAACTCTATGGACCAGTGTTTGTCAAGGGCACTGTATTCAGAACGGAAAATGAATCCGTTATGAAACGTCTTGTCACTCTTTCTCAAACAAGATCAACTTTTTCAAACATTGTTCGAGTTTTTGAATATCATGCAATTAGTTCAAACTCAAAGTTGATCAGTGTTATTTTCAATTTGATGAAACAACATAACGACAAGTGTGTTCTTGAACTGAGAAAACTTGTTAACTCTACAGATCTCGTTAGTATCACCATTCTAGAGAGATTAATCTCTTTGGATGATTTTATGAATATGCTGTCGGTTCGTCGTTGGTTGAACAAGTGTAGAATCAAATTTTTCATGAACCTTGTGAGACAATGTTTCGAAATATTGTTCCAATTAGACCAATTTAATATTCTCCATTCGGACATCTCTTTTGGAAATTTAATGATTCGATTGGATCAAGATCATTGGAACTCTGCTTCCAGCGATGAGGAGAAAATTGCAAGCTTTAAGCTTGTGATTATTGATTTCAACTCCTCAATGTTGCTGAAAGAACAAGATACAACGACGAACGAGAGCGAAGTGGTACATAGAAAAATTATTCCTAATCAAAAGGTTGATCTTGTTTTCAAGTATCCATATTCAGAACCAAGTTTAGACACAGATGAAGCAGATATTTATTCAATGGCAGTGGTTATTGTTAATTATTTACATTACTTTCAACACAGGAACACCTTGAATAGCGATGATCCTTTCCAATCTTGTATGGAGTACAAGATTCTAATGTTGGACTTTTTGAATGATTTTCAAACCAATTACAAGCACATGTATGGAGATGAAATTGTGCATCTTGTGTCGTTGCTTAAATACATGTTGGCAACTGGAGAAGAAGAGAGACCAGTTCTGAAGAAAATTAAAGGCAAGTTGGAAAAGGTGAAATCATTATGGACTCGCAACATTTTAACTCGAACTCCATTGAAGAGCATTTCAAATCCAATGACCGTCCAGAGAAATGCAAACACCAACCATGAATTTCCAAGAAAATGAAAACGCAAAATAATAGTCAGGTAGGCGAGGAGGAAAATCAGTGTCCTATGGATCATCGTATTGTAATTTCTTTCAATAAATAATTATTTATTGAAACTTCTCATTTTCATATACGCTTGCCATTTTGTCACACAAAGGCCCCATCAAACAGGCAGCCGCAGCAAACCAGCCCTCTGTCACTGTATTAAATAATTCAAGAAGGAATGTCAATAATCGAAGGCCCGGCAGAATCATGATCCCACTTTATTCAACATGCGTCTCCGAGCATTTATTAAGATTTGAGAAGGTAAAAAACTTCAAAAACCGCTCAGCGGAAAACAAGAAGAAAATTAAAGAAACGCAAGTAAGCAGGAAGGATGAAGGTAGTAACGATTACATGATGCGAAGCGCAAGAAGTCACAGTTAGGCGGCAGAGACAAAGATTCCATGATGTGAGGTCATATTGAAGCAATTGCTTGATAAATCCATGAAAATTATAATAACTTGAAAATAATCATGGAAACATGATGAATTAAATAAATGAAAATTAAATAATAAAAATATATAGTTAGCTCAATAAAATCCTTGCCGAAAAGATTCGAATCAAGGCGGACCTACCTGCACTGCCACAATGTTCTTCCTTACCACAAGAACATTCCGATCAGCGAAAAAGGTACTTGAATAAGCTTAAGAAAACAAGTGGGTGGGAGTGCGAATGGGTGGGAAGTCACAAAGCAACGCAAAGAGAGACTAATCATTAATATGCAGAAAATTTTTTGAGCATGGAAAAAATTTTTCAAGCTCAACCAAACTCTTTAATTGTTTACAATCGAAACATTCATGCCCTTCACTACGTTCAGAACATATCATTAAGTGGTGTTCATTTTCACTTTGTTCTGAGAATTGTCATTAACTGGATGATATTTGACACACCAATCGTAATCTGTGGCAAGATAGGGCATAGCATTACAGAAATAATATACAGTTCTGAAATGAGTGGTCATTCAATATTCTCTTTCTTGCGAAAAGGGAGAGACCATTTCAAGCATTTCTGATGAGAAAAGAATTGTCAAGAAGGTGAGGAGGAACTTCTGGTTCCAAAAAATATTTGAAAATTGCTTCACTATCAACTAAAACATCTAACTGTTCAAAGTTTTGAATACTACCTTGCCTTCAGATTGGTCGGAATATGTACTAGACTCATTTCCCTACATTTTAATCAAATTTATTTCAAAAGTTTTATTCAAAAAGTATACAAACGTTCTGTTCGGAGAACCCTCCGCCAATTTTCGCTGGCCTACAACGACGTGCCAACAACTGCTTTATTCTCAAAATTTTTTGCCCATAAATTGATTTCTTTCAATGCTACATAAACACTCTTCTCCCAGAGTTGAGTATGTGATGTAACGAATCTGATGACTCTCCTCCAATAAGGAAACATGTTGGTCTTTTTTTGCAGCAACTGGTTGACCTTTAACACACATGTTCAAGAGTAGTATCACTCTCTTAAATTTGTCAAACATTAGTTTCTTCTTTGCTTCCTTAGAAAAGGTGAACCTCTCCAAGCGCAATTTAAAGGAATGTATTTTTGATTACACTCAGAAAATGGAGGAATGTAATTTTTCAGATGCAACTAATTTGGATAGTGTATGGAAAGCTAAAGGACGTTTTGATGTAAAGTCTTGTATGTAAAATTTGACACTCTTATTGAAATTTAAGTTCGAATAAATTTGATCATGCTATAAGGTCAAACTTTCGCTTTTGAGATCAAAGGTGTACAAGATAATTACATTCAATTAAATATTTATCATCAAGTTCTTTACAATTATTTTACAACTTGCTTGTTTTTTGTCCTTCTTCCAACACCTCTGCAGGAACCATCACTTTGGCATGACCTTGCATGATAAGAATTTCCTTTTGTGTCGAAGACGATGACAAATGATTCGCAGTACCTAATTCCTCACACTTGTAACAATCCGTCTTGAGTGTCACAATCTTTCTCTGTAAATCAATATGCTCAATTTCAACACGAGCTTTCACTCTCTCTCCAACCAATAATGGAAGTTTGTACTTGTAATTTTGTTCCATATATATCGTTCCCTCTCCTGGTAAATGAGCTCCCAATAATCCACTAATAAGAGAGGTCAATAATTGACCATGAACAATGGGTTTCTTGAATCTTGTTTTGGATGCAAATTCTGCATTCAAATGAATGGGATTGTAATCTTCAGACAATTCGGCAAATTTTTTCACATGTTCGTGTGTGTATTTTTTGGAAATTTCTGCAAACATTCCAACACGAAGAGGTAATTGTTTGTTGGTTTTGACACTACTCACGACAGGATGGTATTCATAGTTTTCATATTTGGTGATGGATTCTCTCCAATGATCGGGAAGATTTTCTTTGGTTTTCTTGGCAAAGTTGTAATAGACAATGACTGACATGTTGAAAGTGTGATCATGATGAAATTGTGAGATTGAGAAAAAGTCGACCAAAATGTTATTATTAAGGCATGGAATTTGAGAGATGGTTTGTTGGATGGTTTGTGAGAATGTTGATTATGTTATTAAGGCATGATGACATTTGATGTGTATGTGGAACGTATAAGCAGCCATTAAATTATTTTGAGAAATCAAAATATAAGGTGTTGATGATAATGATGAATTCATGTGTGTTGATGTTGTTGATATTGATGTATTAAAAGAGAGTGACAATCATCATCGTTCTGAAAACAAACCTACCTGCTTCAGCTTCACACCAAACAGTTCCTTCCCATGAGACTCGATAGAGTTGTGTGAAAGATGAGGTTCCGACTTGAGAGGTCTTGATGTAGACATCACATTGTTTGAAACCCTTTCCTGGAGCAATACATCTCAAATCGCACTAAGTATGTGAGAATTTCAAGATGAATGTTACAATTTCAATTGATGAATCAGTGCATGTTCATTTCATATTATGATCATGGAATGAACGAACGAACGAACGAACGAATGAACAAAGGAGTTGGGGTATTTTGTTGTTGTTGATCATGAATCAAATCAAATATTAAATTTGAAATCATTTTAAATTCGAATTAAAAATTAAAAATTTAACGGCTACTCCCAAACACACCACCACACGTCATACAAACCTTCAACAATACAAAAGGATAGGTCAATGTCTCTGGATCCAACAAATTCAAAGTATTAGGTCCAAAGTAGTCCGTTCTTGCCTCCTCAAACAAGGTCAAGTAAATGGCATTGTTCAACACTTTTTGATTGTCCTCATCGCTCCATCTGGTTGGCAAGGTGACTCGGTGACGGAAGGTGGTACCTGGCGGAATGATGCTCTTGGAGTCTCCTCCAGCTCCTGATTTCTTATTGTTGCTTGTTGTTGATGATGACATGAAGTTGTGGTTGTGAGGTCGATCGATTCTTTTTTACGTTGGGTTTCAGAAAGGAGAGATTGTGTCTGACAGGAAAATTGGAAAATAATCTTCCGATGGAGAATATTGATCCCATCATCACTCGGTGGTGGAGTTTTGCCAATACTCTTTAGACAATCTACGATTTTTGGGTCACATCCCAATTTTAATTGGATGTATTGAGAATTATAACCAGCAGTTCACTAACAATTCAACTCCGAGTTCAGAAACCTCACAATGTTTTATTGAACGCCATGATTTTGAAATTTGGATCACTCTCTTGCTTATTCTTGAGAAGCAGTCTTCATGTATTCAATCAAATCTGCACGTTCGTTTGGCTTCTTCATACCGGCAAAGACCATCTTAGTACCAGGAATGTACTTCTTTGGATCGACCAAGTATTCAAAGAGGGATTGTTCATTCCAAACGACAGCCTTATCCTTATTGGCAGCAGAGAACGCATATCCTTCAGCCATTCCGGACTTTCTACCCCAAATGCCCCACAAGTTTGGACCAACCTTGTGAGCACCACCCTTGTTGATGGTATGGCATTGAGCACATTTGGCCTTGAAGATTTTCTCACCCTTTGCAGCGTTTCCTTGAAGAATTTCTGAAAGTGTTAATGAAAGCCATCATATATTCCGTGTATGGTAGCAAGACCATCATTCCATTTTGATTGGACCACAGTCGTAAGGATAGTATCCGTCGTATATGATCTCACGGTTCATGAGTCAATACTACCATTAAGGCTTACTTACCAGACATTTTTTTTTCAAAATTTTCGGCGTAAACTTCATCAACCAGCTGCAAGTTCCATTACAACGAAAATTTCTCCTCCTTATAGTCAATGTCGTCATTTTATGCCAAATACAACTCGTCTACATGTATTCACACAAGACCACAGACACAAAAGATCATCATGTTTAATACAGACAGATAGATTTAATACTCGTGATTGAATTGCAACAAGGTGGAGATAATATTTTGAACGCTCACAGGAACTGCATTGTACAATCTCAAAGCAGAATAGACCACTGGAGAGTTGACATCAATCACATCGACACCTCTGTACACTCCTCTCATAATTTCATTGGCAACTTGAATTGGAATTGCACTCAACAATTGATTCTTTCCTTCTTCTCTTCTAACATCACTTCTGGTGTTCACATCTGTCATTTCACCAATTTGAGTAACTTCCTCATTTGTAGTGGTAGTATTTCGTTGACCTTTTCCTTGACCACTTTGTCTTCTCTTTTGAATTCTTCTGCTCGAGTAGGATTCACTAAAGACACGATTGAACCATTCATTGAAAGTGGATCCCAAAGTGGAAGTCAAATTCTGACAAATTAATGGAGTTACCACTTGAAAGACGAGTTGAGAAGAGTTTGGAAAATCATTGGGATTAATCTTCTGACCTGCGAGTCCACTTCTTAAGGAGCTTCTTCTCACTTCTCCTTCGATTAATTTGGAAAATTCCAATAAGGAAGAAAATCCAGGACCAGCTCCGAAAAATTGTAAAGGACCATAACGAGGAACAACATTTCCAACCACAACAACATGTTTAGGAGAGTCAGTAAGTCCTCTTTCTCTGGATTGACAAATGGCTGGAAGAATGGTATTCAGAATTCCAAAAATGTTCAACTCGTATTGAGAACGAATGTCTTGTTCATTCAATGGATGCTGCACTTGTTGAGGAACAATGGGAAGAGCATTGGAAGTTTCTGAAATTGATTCATCATTATTGACTCTTCCAGAAGATGAAACATTTGTGGTGGGAGTTTCACCTTTTCGATTACCATTCACAGAACTTCCTTTCACATCACGTTTTGGAGCATTCGAACGAGGAGAAGTCTTTTCTTTCAGAGGTTCTTGTCCAACTGTGCTTAATATACTTCCCTCCTCTGTGGTCTGAACACCTCGTGTTGTTCTGAAAGTTTCTGATTCCTGACAAGTCATGACCAAGTCATAATCATATTCAGTAATGACTTGTCGAATCTTATCTTGATCATTCACAGAACACACCTTGACACGAATTTCAGTTGTTTTTGGATAGTCCTCTCCCAACACACGAAGAATTTCCTCTCTTATTTGATTCAATCGTTTGTCATCACTTCCCACAAGAGTCAACATTTTATGATCACTGCTTGCATCTCGACGCCACTGTTCACACAAACTCAATGCCAATGATTTTGCAATTTCAGAACGAGAGACACCTGTAATAATGGCTGATTTGATTTGTTGTGCTGAATATTGTTGAGGAGTTGGAACGGCCACCCGAAAGACCATGGTCCAGATCCATCTCAAAAATTGTAAATACAATCCAATGGCAGTGAGAATGGGATAGAAGGTTGTAACCACAATGAATTCGAGAACTTCCTTGAAAAAGCTTGGAGTGTCAATTGGGAAGAAATTACTTCGTCCCATGATGGCTGAAAAGTTTCTCATCAAGATGGGAATGCTATAGAATGGATTTAACAAGGAGAGTTGCTGTTGAGGATTCTGTTGTGATGAAACAGGAGTGGTGGATTGCAAAGTTGTGGATTGGGGCATTTTCAAGTTGAATTGGGTTCACAAATGATTCACACCACTGAACGTAACTGATTCTGAGATGAAACAACGACAATGGTTGTGTTGGACTTTCAGTAATTTCAATGCAATCACAAGGAGTGAATGTTGTTTTTTTTAAGACTTTTCATAAGAAGAATGAAACGATGAAAAGTCAAAGTGTGTAAATGTGACAAAATGGACGTTTCTCCAAGATGGATTTGGAATATTTTGAAATTGGTAAGAAAATGGTTTAATGAGTGAAATTGGCTCTTGATTCAAAATGTGTTTCAACCAAATGTATTGTTGTTTGTCACTACTTTCGCTTCGACCGTCAAGGTCAATTCCATCCATTGACCTTTTTTAGAAATTTTATATTTTTAATTTCCATCAATGATTGTGAAATTAAATCTTATTCATCCAAGTATCCTCCAAATTCCACTCTGGAAATCCCTGCTCTCTATCCTTCTCAAACTCTTGCCTCAACATGTCCAATCTCAATCTTTGAATTTGATCAGGTGGTGCATTCGAATGCTCTTCAATATGTTCAAAACTGCCAGGTGTCACATAAGGATAATCCTTCGAATGTGATTCTTCGAGAGAGGTGTGATAGCGACGAAGCTCTTTTTTCGTCGTTGGATGAAAAGTATGAGTGGGAGGTGAATGGATAAGATCGTATTCGGAAATTCCTCGAGTTGTTGTTTTGACCATTTTTTTGTCTTTTTTTAATGCTTCCAAAAAGACATTCTCTAACAAATTCGAGAATGGACAATTCAGGAAAAAGTTAAAAATTGGAGATGTCAAATGAATTTGAGGAAATGACACGATTCATGTTCTATGAGGATGAGGAATATTGTTGTGTGAATTGTATGATTGTCACTTGGGTTTGTAATGTGGAATTTAATCGTGTTATTATCTATTTTTCAAGTCATCTGTCATCGATCAAATAAATTGCAATCAAACAAATAAAAAAATGGCAAAATCAAGACACAGTGGAGTGTCGTCATCCTCTCCGGAAGATGTTGCCACAACAACAACTTCTACAAACACCTCCACAAAGAAGGACACTGCCTCATCCTCCCAAAAGACATCTAATAGAACTTCTCCGAGTATGTTTTTTTTTGAAATCATCATCTCATTCACCACTTTTCAGAATCAAAATGTTGCAATTCTTTCATGTTATGGTTCTTTTTCATCATTCCCATCTCGTTCGGACTTGTTTCATTGCTCGTATATGTTTTTACCTTTCATTCGGAAGATGTGAAATTTGAACTTTCGAAATGGATACCAAGTTTATTTAAAAAGCAGGCGAGAAAAGTGGCTGTTCAATATCCTACTTTGAATAATCATTCTAAATTTCCAGCCATTATCAGTTCAACACCTGAGTATGTGAGATATTTGGAGTTACTAAAAAAGGAAACTTTGACACAACCACAACGAAAAAAGGTTCATGTTGGAGTGTTTGATGAACATCATTGTTCATTGTTTTTTTGGGTGAGAGCTCATAAATTGGGACTCATTCCAAGATTGAATTATAATCATTCAACAAATTCTCAACAAAATGTCTACAACTTGAACTATCAAGGTCTTCCATTGCTTCATATTGACTCACATTCAGATGCACAAATTCCACAACATTATTACAGTTTCAAACCTTTCAGAGATTTAATTCAAAACACTCCACTCGGAGCGAAGGAAGAATATGTCACCTCTAAAAATGTAACTAAAAAGAGACATCCTTTCAATAATCAAAAAGTGAGCGAATTACTTGCAGTCACTTCGATTGGAGATTTCATTCCGGTCGCTCAATATATGGAATTGGTTGGTCCTCGAGTAGTTTGGCTTCAAAGTAATTTCGAAGGAGGAGGTTACAATTTTAATACTGGTCGATACAATGCCGAGTTGGGAGTGAGAGCGAGTGCCATGAAGTTGCCACCACAAACTCTTCAAGATTTGACAAAAGCTGCAAATTCTCTAAATGTAGAAACCACTTATTTGTGTTATCGAAATCCAGATGGATACTCGTGGAATATTCATTACAAGAATGGAAAAAAAGTCTTGACCAAACCTGTTCACACTCTTGCTCAAATTGCTAAGGAAGGAGTTTGCTCTGAATATGAACCTTTTCATAATGCTTCACATGAATCATTTCCAATTCAATGGGATGTCTACAATATGGATGAATTGTTTAATGCACATTCTGAAGACATCATTGAAGAGAAAGCCAAATTCTTTAACGCGACTCCATATTTGTTGGATATCGATCTTGATTACTTTTCATCAGATGACGAAATGCTCTTCAATATTGTTCCAAGAAAAACTTATGGAGGACTTTTTAAGGTTTTGGAAGAAATGGTTCAAGAAGAGATAATTTTGTGTTTGGATCGAAGAATTTATGAACCTACCAAAAACATGTCACTTCCCATTGAAAAGGTGAAGAAATTTAATAGGAACAAAATTTCCAAATTACTTCATGAAATGTTTTTTAGAGGACTCATGTTTGATGAGAATAGCGTCTTTTCCAAACAACCTGTACAGAAATCAAAAATGATTGGCGACACTGTGTTTGGTTCTGAAATTTTAGAATTATTTTGCAAAGGGTCTCAATTTGCTCTCGAACACTTGTATCAACTTTCCAAACTTGTGATTATCTTTTTGGAAAATTTGAATTACTTTTACTTGTCACTACTCGATGCAAATTATGCATTCCCATCCATCAAGCCCTATTGTAAAGTGAATCAAATGTTTGGAATTTGTCCAAGTGGATTACCTTCAAAATATTTAACACGAGAGGAAATTCTTGATCAAATGAACAAGTTGGAAAAGTTACTTGTTGCACAAGAGCAGTTACCAGCATATGTGACCATCTCTCGTTCAGTCGATGCTTATTTACCAAAGGTATTGCATCACTTCATCGAGTCTGAAACTTTACAAATGTTGGAACGAGCATTTAAGAAAATTTCTCCCAATGTGACAGTTGACGTTTCCTATTTTGACGAATTTGAGCCAACCTCAAAGAAGTATGAAAAGGAAGCCACTCGACAATTTTTCGACGAGATTGAAAAAGAAGCATCCATGATTCGTCAATCCGTCCAAGAAATTGATGATCCAATTGCAACCTATTTGCCTCATGTCAATTACAAAATTTACAATGTTGCTCTCATGCTTCACTTTTTGCAAGAACGTGAAGTCTCCTTCGACATGTTCGTTCAGGATATTACATTACTGAAAGAATTTCTCGAGTGGAAATTAACAAATGCAGCATTTATAGATTTTGAAAATTTAGGAATTGTCTCAAAACCTAACAAGTCCATCTTCATGCCATACACCATTCCTTCCAAGAGACCTCGACTTTGCATGTTAATTTTGAAGAATGTTGTACAATCACAGAGTAACAACACATTAGATGCAAATGATGAAAACTCAAATTCAACTCAATTTGAAAAACAAGGAAACAAAATTCCTCATGATTTATCAGTGGCTTCTTCCACCTTAAATTGTTTCATTCAAAAATTGAACAAGACATTCGAACGTGAGTTAATTTTGGAATTGGAAATTGTAGAAAGTGCAAGCCGTAGCGAATTTTCAAAAAAATTTGAAGAACTTGTTGAATATTATCGAAACTTATTCCCAACTCATTTCAAGAATGTGACCATTGAGAGAGATGAAGCCAAACCATTTGCTCTCGTCGTAGATCCTTCGTGTGTGACCTTCGATTTGGAAGAAGAACTTAAACCTAAAAAAACCAAATCGAAAAAGTATATTAATTTGGAGGAAAGTCCAGTTGTGAAACGTTCTGGAAAAGAACCCATTTCAATTTCGTATGATTTTTCAGGAGTTGTCTCTACTTTTAATAATTTGGTATTGGATTTATTGAAAGAGAGTACACCTTCAGCCTCCTTGAAAGATTATTCGAATAAGATGGCATACATTGAGGCACAGAAGGAAGCATTCAATAAGAAGAAGCTGAAACAACGTTATGAAAATGTGAAAGGAATTGTGGAGACATCCATCAAGAAGTGCAGCACTGGAAAAGTACAGTTGTAACATGAGGGATCACTGCAAAACTTTATTCACAACGTTTGCAGCTCGATTTGGAAAGAAGTTTGTTTGACAAGTGGACCTAAATAAGTTAATATTTATTTCTTTTTTAATTTTTATTTGTTTTTTACTTTTTATCTTGTTTTCTAAACCACTTTTGAGCGTGTGACGCGATTTGAGTCCTTCGTCGTGAAGGCACATACAAATCAGCAATCTTACTCCAATTCTTTCCACATGCTTCAAAGCCTTTCAGAAATTGTTCATGTTCTTCCTCCGTCCAAGGACCTTCATTGACGTTGACCTTTCTTGCTTTTGGTTTTCTACCTCGATTGGATTTTCGTTTTGGAGTTTCATATTGTACAGTGAAGGAGGAGGAGGATTGAGTGGAAGGTTCAACATTGGTAGTGTCACAAGTGGTATTTAGATCATGTGACGACGTCGAGCAGGATCCTGAAGTGGAATCGTCTTCGTGTTCACTATTCGACGACTCATGTTCAACAGGAATCTGTGGTGAAAGGCGACCCAAAAGTGATTGTGTTTGATTCTCACCTTGTTTGGCCTGCTTTTGAAGAGGTGTATTAAGCACCACGTCTGGCTGAGGAGGAGGTGTCAAACTCTTTGTGGTGGTGTGGCCATGATGATGATGATTAGACAAAGATTCATAACTCTCTCGATTTCTCTTTTTCAAAGGTTGAACAAAATAAGGAAGTGTTGAAGAAAACTTTGATTTGGGACTCAGAGAGGAAACATGTGCGTGTTCTTCTGAATGAGAATGAGTGTCTGAATGGTGAGCAAGAGCTTCTCCATCATGATAATGCAAAGTATTTGTCGTTTGAAAGGAAAAGCCTTGAGAAGGAGTGATTCCCGACGATGATGAAGATGTCTGAATGAAAGGCTTTTCATAGCGAGCGGCTGATGAGAGAAGATCAATCGTCTTGAAAGGACGTGAATTGGATAAAGTGGTTGAGGAAGAACAAGATGGAATTGCACTCCTCAAAGGATGATGACTTGAATGATTTGGAAATAACACTGGTGGTTCAACACTCACCAAAGGCTCAATGAGTTGCAACGAATGAATTCGGTTAGAATTCAAATGATCCTGTAAAAGTATGTGGTAGTATTCGTGGTGGGAATGAGTGTTCGGAGAGTAATGGTTGGGTGGTTTCTTCAAGCAGCGGATGGTTTGAGTGGACATCATGTTGTTGAATAGTGTTGGTGAATGAATGAATTCTTTTCTTTCTTGGATATTAGAAATTAAATAGTAGTTGTTTGTAAGAGAGAGATAAATAATTTAATATTCAAGTCGTCGTCGAGTCGTTTTTTGTTACTCTTGATGATGAGATAATAACAATCGGATCTTTTTGTGTTTGGTCTGGTTAAATTAGGAAAAAAGTTTGAATTGTCCAAAACAAGGCGTCATGATAAAGTGTCCAAAAATGGGATTTATTAAACCCAATTTTGAAATGCAAATCCAAAAAACATTTTGGCGAAATGGCTTGTTTTGAATTCGAATCATGTTGAGCCGAATAATGGATTGTCTTCATTCTTCTTGTCGAAAAGAAGGGCCAATACAATGACATGGTCTGAATATGCAGAATTGTGAAGAGTTAAGTCTTGGGCAAAATTCACAATCCAAATCAAATTCTCTCATTTTCTTTATTTTTGTATAAACGCACACGTTCAAAGAATGAATGAATCAGCGAATGAATTAGTTTTAACGATTTGCATTGAGATTGATTTCAACACGAATAGAACGAGTTGATTGTTGTAACAATATACAACACCACTACAAAAATGGTAAAATTCAAACACTACAACATAAGAACCCAGTAACGTATACAGGTGGGAGTGACAGGTAACGAGATCTCTCGAGCCAGGAGAAAAAAATTGGCTGGACGGGAAATTTAATTTTTTTTTCTCAATACCACCTCTGTAAACGTTTATGTTGTAGTGCAAGGTAATTTTTAGACGAATTGGTTTGTGCTCGCTAGATGGTGTGAGTACCCATCGAAATTACCTTCTGACAGCACAAATCCCTTTATTTATAAAGGTACAGAATGGTGCAGAGGTGAATAAGGGTTGAGAGTTGAATGTGAAATAAAGGAAACGAAGTGAGTGTAAACTCTACTCATGGGAAAACAAGAATCCATGAGGAGAGGCAACCCTTATTAAAGAAATTTGTCATGAACAAAGGTGAATGAAAGACAACTGAAATAGAACAAGAACAGGAGTAACAAGAGCTTACCGGAAAATCAAGGTCAAGAATAAAGCAGGACCTTAGGATGCTGGACCAGAGGTTGGCTTTTACGCAACTGATTCCTGGAGAAACCGACTATTTGTCCTCTGATCCCGAGGAAAAATTACCAGAAGAAAGAAAAACTCTTTCAACTGGATTTTAAATAGGTGACGCCTAAGTATATGAAAGGATAACTTAATGTTGAGAACCAAGACCACCAGACACATTGGTCGTAACAAATCCGCTACTGGGATCTGCTTGCTCCAGGCAAAGTCAGTCAAGTTGGATTTAGAGATGACTCTAAACAACTTCACAATGATGTGAAGCAGGAGGAGTAAATGAATAGGTATAAAGAAAAACTAGGGTCAATAATGGAAGACGAAAGGAAAGGAGGAAACATCGCTGTTGGGTGGGTGCTTGGTTTGGCTGGGACATATTAGACACTACTACACTGTGTTGCTGTTGAGGTAATTTTTTGAGCGATGATTCCCTCTAAAAATTACCCTCGAAAATGTAAATTGTAGGAATGGTGACCCACTTCAATAATCCAAACAGAAAATAAGTAAACCTTTCACATACCAGTGGAATGAATAAGCAAGAACATGAATCATTAATTGTCATGATGATGACGATGCAATTTTAATTCCGTGCCATTTTTCAAAAGAGATCGAGACAGATTATTGAATGTTACCGTTCATTTCTTGTTGCCTCTTTTGTAATTGAAGTAATTTGACTGCTTCGGGAGTGAGAACAATCTGTGATTGTTGACTCTGTTGTTGTCCCTGTTGTGGAGTTTGTGTGCTGGAAGAAGTTGCTGCAGTGGTTGTGGTTGGCATGTTTTTTTTATTTTTGGAATTTCATGGTCTTTTAATCAGGTTGCTTGTTACTTTAGGTTTTATACCATTCATGAAATTCTTGTGGTTTGTGGTTGTTGTCCTGTTGGACTCACAACAGTTACTGAAAACTATTTAGCGAAGGACTGTCTCTGAAAACTCTCGCTTCCGAAACGGACTCTTGCTTTTCGTGTCTTCCATTTCTACTCTCCATCACATAATGCTTATCATGACCCCAGGCAGTCATACAAAACAAGGAATTGGTTTGAACTCGATTTACATCATTTCCAACTATCGTTGTTGTTATTTCTTGAAGGGTCATGATCAGGTGTTTCTTCTTCATGGACACATCGCAACTGCAACATTAAAAATGAATCCATAGTTTCTTGAGCATGTTCGATTTAAGTTTTAATCCCAATATTTCCTTTTTTATCAAATGATAATAAATTATATTGATTAAATTGACAAAAAAGGAACGTAGAATGAATAAAAAGGAAATATATTATTTAATTTTAATAAAAATTTACACGTTCCATCTCATTTTCGATTCTCACTTTGAGGAGTCCTTCGTTAGTAATGTATTTAAACGAATGCATGTTCTCATAAATAAGACAAAAAACATTCATTCCTTAATATCAACAATGCCGCCAGAGATGAAGCCATCTCCACTTCTTCTCCTGTTAGTACTACTAATGTTGCACATCATTTTGTGCATGATGATGGTTGGAGGTAACAAACTTGTCAACCATGTTCATGCAACCCCATCGACTACATCAGTGCAAGCCATTCCTTTCGTTTCGCTCATTCATGAAGAGAATCGTCATCCTTCTTCACTGATTGAACAAGAGATTCGTTCCTTTCCACTCTCTTTTGAAAATAATTTAATGAATGAGTTGAATCGATTGCATTCACTCATGAATCGAAGAGAAATGGTTCATTCCTTTTCTGTGAATCTTTTGAAACGTTTGAATAACAATGACGAAGAAATTGGTCCAATGGTGAAACAATTGGACGAACCTCGTAGTCAGTTTATTGTCAAGTTGAGGGAAGTTTCGAATGAATCCAATGAAGATGCTTCATCAAAGTTGGATGCAACTATTAGAGACACAGAATGGATTCAATCCATGGTTATGAAATCTGGAAAACCTTTGGGATTTTCAAATGTCTTTGCAGTAGTGGCCAAAACGTCAGAAATCATTTCACATGTTTCATCTTTGTCATCTTCCAACAAAGCCATTGATTGGATTGCTGAATATGAACCAAGATTCAAAAGTGCTTTGAATTTTCAAAAAATTCAACAATTCGCAGAACATCAAATGCATAACTTGAATGAACTTGGTGAGAATTTTACTGCTGCCAATTCTTTGAATGACATGGACAACCATTTGATTCATGTCATTATTACCATCCTTCCATCTCTGGATGCCATTCTCGTCAATCAAGAAGTCGAAGAAGCTCATCTTATTGCGAATGAATTGAATTCCAAACTGACAGAATGGTTATCCAAACAACAACAACAACAATGGAATAACAACAACAAGAATGATCATCCTTCAATGATTTCTCCAATTCAAGTTTCTTCAAAGGATAAACTGGAAATGAGTTTCTCTCCACTCGTGGCACAACAAGTGGGTGACATTTTGAAAGAAAATTCACATGTTCATTTCATTGAAAGAAAACACAACTTTCAATTGAAGAATAAGAAATCGAGTGTCTTGATGCAAGGATTTGGTCCTTCTCCAAGTGTGGGAATGTCTGCCACTCCATTCTATGACATGGGAATTTTAGGAAATGGACAAATTGTCGCAGTCGCTGATTCTGGAATTGATTGGGACAATTGCTTATTTAGAGATGCAAATAATCCCATTGTGAAAACTAATACGGTCAATATGAATCATCGTAAGATTGTTGGATATGACACTGTGACTGTTGGTTCCATCTCCTCAGATGGACAAGATGAAGTGGATGGACATGGAACTCACGTTGCTAGTTCAATTTGTGGAAGTATTCAAAATATGACTTACAATTCGAAAGCCAATCCCATCAATGAATATCATGGAATGGCTCCAAATGCAAGACTTTATTTTACAGATTTAGAAAAAACTGGATTTTCACAAATATTGATGCCATCTTCGAAGCGAAATTCCTTATTTAAACCTGCGTATAACAGTGGAGCAAGAATATTTTCATATTCATTGGCTGTTGGTCCTGAAGATTTTTTTTCTTGTAGATACGATTGCACAGATTGTAAGTGGACTGTTTCGACAAATGGACACACTGCCGGTGAGAAAGTGACAGATGACACTTGTCGAGCATTGTTTGGAAGCGACTCATGTTGCACTATTTTCAATCGGTATGATAGTGATTGTCAAGAGGTGGATCAAATAATGTGGGATTATCAGGATGGTGTCATTCTTCTTGCACAGGTAAGTATGAGAGTCTTGACATTGGAGATGTGAACAATTTCATTCATTGTGAAATTGTGAATTGCTTTTCAAGGAAATGGAGGAGGAATGTCTTCGAAAGGAAATATTGGATCTCCTTCAACGGCAAAGAATTCAATCGCTGTTGGAGCAAGTATGACATCAAACTCTGCATTCGAGGAATCAGTCTTTTATGAAGATTTTAAAAATCGCATTCAAAAAACTGGATTACCATTCTCAACTCCTGATCAATGTTGTTCTTATAATGGAGAATACCAAGTTATTAGTAAGTTACCTGTCTTTTTTTGATTAGGAAATTTATTTACCATTTTTGGGAAAATTGTGAAATTTAAACACAGTTCGTAATTTCTGCTGTCCAAGTCAAATGAAAACCACATACACCAGCAATCCTTCCATCTACAATGAATTCAATTTGGCTTCCTGTAAGTGCTCATGCCCTTTCCATATCCATCTTTCATGATACTAATTACCTTTCATTCTTATCATAGTCTCATCACGAGGTCCTGCAGTTGGAAATCGTATCAAACCTGATGTGACAGGAATTGGTTACAGTGTTGTGAGTGGCCATTCCGATGGTAATACCAACACCAATCAATGTGGAACTAATTCTCCATCTCTTGGAAATTCAGCTGCTCTCATGACCAGTCAAGGTTTGTACTTTATGAATTCTTTCAAATTTTGAATTCACTGTTGTTGTTCCATTCAATATATTTATTTCATCATTGAACTCTTTCAAATATTCACTTTTGATGATCATGAATTGCTGAAATAATAATATTGTATGTGTTTCAAAATCCTAGGAACCTCCATGTCCACTCCATTGGTTGCTGGAGCCGCTGCTTTATTGAGAGAGTTTTTCCAAACCAAAATGAACATTTCGAACCCTACAGGTCCTTTATTGAAAGCTGCTCTCGTTCATAGCTCCATTCCCATGACTGGAACAGTGGCTTATTCCTTCGATGAAACACGACGATTCAAACTCTCAGAGTTGGGTACTCCAAACTCGTATGAAGGTTTTGGAAGAGTTTATTTGGGAAGTTTGTTACAAAATCAAGATGGAACTCCCTTGAATATTCTTGTCCAAGAACAATCCTTTAAAAACGTTTCAGAATCTCTCAAGTTATGTTTCAAGAGAAAAGATGGAAATAAGGCCATTCAAACGTCACCCTTCTTTAAGGCCACTCTTGCTTGGTATGATTATCCAGGAAGTGTTTCAGTGGTGCCTCAACTTTTGAGTGATTTGGATTTATTCATCAATACCTATGTGAGAAGCAGTTCTTCATCCTCCGATGTTTCAAAACTCTCAGTGATTGCTGGCAATTATGGTGACCGAGTGGACACAACGAACAATGTGGAGAGAGTGGTAGTAGAAGAATTACCTCATCCATCTTCCAGCAGTGATCATTCGGTCTATGTGAGTGTGGCGGTCTATGTGACCAAAATCTTGAAATCAAACCAACAACCTTTTGCACTCTTATTGACCTATCCGAAAGACATGTTGGAGAGAGTGGACCCCTCGGACCCTTCATGTTTCTATACCACTGATTTTCCACCCCTATTATCAGAGGAAGCGATAATTGGAATTGTCATTGGATTGTTGGCAATAATGTTGGTGGTGGTTGTGATGGCAGTGGTGGTGGTTGTGGTTGTGAAACGACGCCGATCACAAAAAGGGACTCATGTTGCAACTGGAAGTCATGCAAGTTCAAGTTATTATACTGCAAGATAGATGTTGTCGATTAATTGAAACCTCTCTTTATAATTCTCTAAAGAGTGTGAAATAAATGAAATAAACATTTAATTAACAATGTGGTTGATGAGAATTGCTTTTGGAGAAATGTGTTGTTGCTGTTCAACGAATGCAAAATGAACCTGAAGTGCGATTTGGATAATTTTGGAAATCAAAAAAAAATGCCCAAAAAACGAGTCAAGTTTTCTCAGCAGTTGTTGGACAACAACAACCACCACTCTCAAAATGAACATCATCAGGAAGAACCTGAGGAGGAGGCTTACGATCAAGAGGAAAGTATTGAGGTTTCTGAATATGAACAACAAGCCAATGATCAAGAGGAGGACTTAGAAGCAGTCATTCCCGATGAGAGTGAGGATGGCAATGGAGGCTCATTTGTTCCTATGCAATTAAATCCGATGGAATTATTACAAGAAATGAACGATAATAATGAAGAGAATGCGGAACAGAGTGAAAATTCAAAAAAGAGAAAACGAAAGAAAAAGAAGCCATCACAGAAAAACAATTCTTTGAATCGACAACAACCATCAATGGTCAATGAGGAGCAGGATGATCAACATTTCCAAAAAGCATTTTATATTGTTGATGAACAAACAGTTAAGAAAATTAATTGGCAACCACCTGAAAAGGAATGGCTTAAATCTTTTTTCAGCCCTCATGATCATCAAAAGAAGACGCCTTTTACTTCTGAACAACATGACAATAACGAGATTGCTCAAAATTCGTCAGATCTAATGCAACAAGATCTCAATGAAGAAGACTTTTTTGAACACGATGAGTTAGACAATGAAGCACAACGATATTTATTGAACGTTCGATATGAAGCACAAAATTATTGTGCCAAGACTGTCGTAGCAACCAATATTGATACCAAACAATTTGAGAAAAATAGGACAAGTATTAGGGATTTGGATTCTTCACTGTATGGAGCGCTGCATTTATTTGATGCATACCTGGGAACCAGTGACACCAACCAGTCTCCAATTTTGATCACAAAACAATGGGAAAATCAATTCTTGACAAATTTCAGAAAGGCCAGAGACTTTGTACAGCTTGAACTTGACAAGAAACTACGCTCAAAGGCATCACCATCCTCTCAAAAGTCAAACGAATTCTCAGCTTGTCCTCGCCTTAATGGTAACTACGACGAATGGAAATTGTATTGCCTCGGAGAGGAGAATGTTTATGCCTTGTGGGAACGAATGGCCAAAAAACAGGCACAACATGGAAACAAGGAGGAAGTACCAAAAAAGAAAAAGAAAAATCGACGAGGACGAAAGAGAGGCGGCTCTCATTCGCTTAACAATGAAACAACAACTACAACCACATCATCCACAACAACTACGACGACAAGTGATGCCATGTCTGATTCAGGTGACGAGGAAAATCATGACGAACAGTTGTTGGAAAATATCGATCGAGAAATGGCAACCAACGAAACCATTCGAGAGAGTTCAACTATGATAACCCCTCAAGAGGCATCCTTGTCAGAAGCAACCGAGACACTTCCACAACAAACCATATCACATCAGAAAGAGGGACACAAGCCCACTCAAAATTTGCTTCTTCGATATTTAGACTATGTCACTACACATGCCCTTTTCAACAAGATGATCCATTGGACTGTGAGTAACTTCCATAATAATTCCTTATTGAGAAGAATGCCAAGTAAAGCGAACACTCTGTTTGCACCAACAGATGAAAGTGACGATCATGACGACACTGAACTGGTTCACGAAATTTCAACACAGGATACCGAGCAACAAAAGCAACAGTGGATCACAAATTATTTACTTGTCCAAAGTAAGGAATCGAATAATGTATTACGATGTGACTGGTTATATCACTTGCTTCTTGCCATCGACAAACCTCCCAACGACACGATTGGAGCAAACATGAATCAATTACTCGTTTGGATACTCGATAATTTTTCACAATTCACAGCACAAGAAAATGAAGAATTTACAAAAATTGTGCTTATTGTGATCAAATATTTCGGACAAGGAAATGCCAACATTATCACATATAAGAACAGTGATGATGAACATGTCAATACTCCACAACAGAAATCTCTCATTGTCTAGACTTCTTTCAATCAACACTTTGAACAAAATCAACAAGTCGAAACACAGTTGTGCTGATCTTGCTAGACGGTAAGTGAGATACTTTCAATAAATGATATCAATTAATAATGTTTAACATTAATGTACAATGATAGTGATCATTTGAAAATGAAGAATTTCTCTAAATATGAATATTTATATTTTGAATCGTGTGATCATCTTATCTGCTGTCCACCTTGCAATGAAGCTGAAATGATTGCTGCGCTGTCCAAATAATTGCTGACACAATTTTGGAAACAAACTTTGTCATCTGAAAAACGGAAATATCATAAAAATTTTTTCATAAAAGTTTGAATCAGTATCATCAAATTATTGAAAATTTTCAGATGAATTCAAAGTTTGCCAAAGATTTAAATAAATTAAAGATCATTATTCATAAATTCACCATCAATCTTTCTGGCAACATCTTACAACTCAAATACTAACTCTTATTGAGACCTTTTGAGTTTGGATTCGGAACACAACTTTCAAAACATTTCTTTGTTAAATCAATGATTTGTCGAGTGATTTGCGATTTCCACACTAATTCGAGCTCCTGTTTTCGTTGTTCGTCCATTTTTTTCTTCAATTAAAACAAAAACAGAAATGTGCACTTATTTAAATTATTTTCAATTTTATGGATATGATTCGGAACAATTTGATGATAATTCTGCAGAGAAAGGGGAACAAAGAGGTGATTAGGATTTTAAGGATTCAAAGGTTGGAGTCAATAATAATAATAATTTTGGATAATCTACACAGTAGTAACGAAGAGTAGGGAAGGAGCAAAGAAGAAGGAAAGGAAACTGGTTTCAAGGATGATATTCACACAATAGTGGTGGACCTGATCGTCACAAATAATCCAACAAGTTACTGTTGTGATGGTGGCGGTTGATGTTGTTGCTGTTCCGCTCGTTGCTTTTTCTCAATAACAACCCAATCCCATTCGTAATCCAAAGCATACTTCTCTCGAACAAATAAATTCAGGAATAAGTTCCTCAGATACATGTAATCTGGCTCCTGATAAAACTTGAGACCCCTAGTGTAATTGAGATATGTGGCAAATTCAATTGGTAAACCTTTACAAAGTGAAACAATTCGAATATTTTTCTTCTTGTTATAAATATTGTTGTAGTGGTCTTCTTTCGTTTTTCCTGTTAATCCTTGCCATGGCAAAGTTCCTCTTAGAAAGTATAACAAAACATAACCCAACGATTCCAAGTCATCTCGTCGTGATTGCTCATATCCTTTGTGATTGTTAAGACTTGCATAACGTGCCGTTCCTGTCAAGTGTTTATCTTTCCTTAAAGGAATGTGACCCTTGTCACTCATGTACATTTTGGATAAACCAAAATCAATCATGTAAACTGTATTTTCACTAGAGAGTGATGTCGATGAACTTGTTGAGTTGGATTTTCTTCCCATTAAAAAGTTATCTGGTTTGATGTCTCGATGCACAAAGTTTCTTCGATGTGTAAATTCAATTCGTTGTATCATTTGGTCCGCTAACATGAGTACAGTTTTGAGAGAGAATTTACGATTGCACTTTTTAAAGAGACTTTCAAGTGAAGGTCCCAAAAGATCCATGACCATTATATTATAGGAGCCCTCAGATCCATACCAATAAACTCTCGGTATTCCTATAACTGGTGTTGAATTTGCCGTTGTTAAATGACTCGAGTTGCCATGTGATCCAAAGAGATAATTGATAACTTTTGCTTCATAAATTAATTGTTGTTTTCCAGCCATATTTTGTTGATTTCTTGTTGGCATTAATTCTAATTTAACAGCAAAATATTCTTGTTGTTGGTGTTCTCCAGATGATGAATTGGATGTATTCGATGATGTTGTATAGGTTGCAAGGAAAACCTCTCCAAAAGCTCCATTTCCAATCTTGCTGACGAGTCTATACTTTTGACCAATAACCAGTCCAACTGGATATGGTCCGCTGCTACTTCCTTGGTTATTGGAAGGAGATGTTTGTGGCGGAACAGCGAGTGTTTGTGGACTGTGAAGCGGATTTGTGGGTGAAAGTGGTGTGCCTGTTGATCCATGATGATGACCATTGTTCGCAATTTGTAGATGGAACGAATTATTGGCCAGGCTTCCAGCTCCTGCATTTATGATGGATTGAGATCGACCCTGTGATGTTGCTAGAATGTTTCCATTGCCTATGGAGTGGGCATTGCTTCGTCGATTTCCTAATGATTTGAAAACGATAAGTGTGAGAGTGAATGAGATGGAAAATTGCGATTGGGTTACCATTCATTCGACACAGCGAGGTTCATGGCAGTGTCCATCAAATATGATAGGACAATATGATGATTTGTTGTTGTTGTCGTTGGCAATTGATTTGCGCAGTGTAGTGGAATGTTGATGATTTTGTGAAGGTGTGAACGTGAGGAGGTGTATACATAACCATCGATGAGATGTGACGAGTATCATATTGGAATCCAGCAGCAGCACCCATATTCAAATGGTTCATTGACAATGTGAGCAAGTTTAGTTGAACATGAAAAGTACGTAGTGTTCAGTGTTTGACAGGTGTTCGCAAATACAAACGCAAGTTGAAAGAAAAGCAATGTTCATCACGTAAATTATTTTGAAATAATTCATCGGTCATATGACAGAATGATACCATAACGGAAAACAATTATTTCATCATACATATATCATTGAATTTGATTTCATGTCATACATTCACGAAACCACAACAATATCATTTACATTTATACATGATTACGATTAAAATGTATATTTGAATGAAAATAAATTATATCTACTGCTCATCATTCTAGAAATACTTACCTGACCCATTTCCATCCTCAATAATTATTGGAAAAGCAGTAGACGAACCGGGCCTCGGATTTGTTCCTCCTACATTCATATTTGATGTAGCAGGATTGGTCGTAGCGGTTGTTGTTGTCTGGTGATGTTTCTCCTGCTGTTGCTTATGACTATTGTTGCCCATACTAACTTGTATATTGTTTTATAAAGTGTAGTATTGGTGAAAGGAAGTTGTTGTTGTTGATGGAAAAAGGATAATTTTGATGATGAGTGGTCTGTTCTTTAGTTCTCCTTGTTGTTGTTGAAGAGAGAGAGAGGAAAAGGAAGGAACGAGGATGGAGATGATGCTGGATTCTTATGAAATTCTTGGTGCTTTCTACTTATAAAAATTATTATTGTAGAGAGAAGGAATGATGATCGGCACACAACGGTCGAGAGTGGTATGATGATGATGAGGAGGAATTGCTGCTGTTGTGGCGATACAGTATGTCTATTGTTTGTTGTTTTTTAAAAGAATGGGAATAAAATAAAATTGTTGTAGTGATGCCAAATTTGGAGACTGTGTCTTGTTCTTCTTGCCTCCCACCACACACACGACAATGAATATCGGTAATGAAGTCTTGCAAGAGCTCAAAAAGAATCCAAAGAGCAAACCTTTGAGCTATATTGGCTACGGGACAATCCGGATTGTTAGTTTCGGACAGAGTGATTGGCTCACTCCAGCAGTTGTTTTTTTTGGATTGGCTTTCTTGTTGTGATGGTGACAAGCGGCAGAAGCGAAAAGGAGCACTTAAAGCTCCCAAAGGAGAAGTAAGTGTTCAAAGAACGGAAGTCGAAGATACGTTGAAAAAAAACTTTCACACGAGTCATGGTTAGATAGGATCATGGCCATGATCCGTATTTTCATCGATATTTATGCCATCCATCCTTCAAAATCACTGTTCCATTGGATGGATAGACCTTGGGGGCCATGCATGATCGTCTAGGATAACGCTCGACCGAGTGGGCACATAATAAGGATTACCAACTTATTGATAAACTCACATTATCGTATGTTTCATCATGCATATAAAGCTATCCTGGTTCCAGAATTCACTGGGTTACTAATTTAATTACAATTTGTACAATTTGATATTCTTTTTTGTAATTCACAAAGAGGAATTCCACAATTCCCTCCAAGGAATGTCCTATTTTGCCTTAACTTGGTCCAACATGACTCCTGCTCCTCTCCATTGACCATCCTGTCCTTTTTGAAAAACTATACCTTGTCCAATTGCAGAGCCATCCTTAAAGTTGGCAATGACAGCCCATTGAGGAGAGATGAGCAATCCCAAGCCATCCTTCCTCATTTCCCTTACTTGACCAAAATAGTAGGTTTTTCTAGAGCTTAATTCGGTGCATCGTCTCTGTTGATGATACTCTTGCTTTCGAAGAGCTGACAGCGCAGCATAACCGAATACAGCTCCAGTCAAGTGTGCTGTTTCGTGATTTGAATATTCATTTCGTTATTCCACAACAGTTCATTCACAATTGTATATATATATATATATATTTTCAAATATTTTCGTATAGTTATTCGTTAGGAATGATGGGTTAATTTCAAATGAGCCAACATATCAATCTTGATGGTCTCTCTTCAATTACGTACCTCCTGTATCTAATTTTACACGTCTCGAAAAGACATTGAACAAAATTTCACCGATGAAATAAGCAGGCAAGAAATATTTTGGATCAAAGCCTCCCAAACTGTCAGGCAAGAAAATTAAGTTTAGTTTTGCCTTCTCTAGTGAAATAATATTCAATCCTGCAAACATGATTGCAAAAACTGCACCTGAAGCACCAACACTGCCTTGATAATAATTTTTCGTTATCAATTTGAGTAAAATACTGCCCACACTCGCACAAGCACCTGCTCCCAAATAAAAGCCTAAGAACGCCTCAGGTGACAAGACTTCATACAATAAATGTCCCATACTGTAAAGGGCGTACATGTTAAAACCAAGATGCGCAAGCCCACCGTGAATAAAAGTACATGTCACAAGTGTGTGAATTCTTCCTCTCAAAATATTATTCACCGAGCATGTCATGTGTCGTGTGTAAAATTGAGCAAATGGTGCACTCCATCTAAGTTGTTTCACAACAAAGTGAGCTGCAACATTCGCTGCAATAATCGCATACAAGAATGGATATCGTTTCACGTCCTTCTCAATTTCGTTAAAAGCATTGTCATTGGGTTCATTTATAATTGGTCCTTTCGTGAGTAGGGGAGTTGGTACTTTGGATTCCTTTGCTTTTGATGCTTTCTTTTGTTGTTCTACCGACTGAATATACTGAGATAATGCTTGTTGAACAAGTACTTGAATATTTCCTTGTACTTCTTCATGAAACATCTTGTCAAACCCAACGGTACAAGCAACTAGTAAGGCAAATACAGCTGGAAATGCCAAAAACGTCCACAACAGTCGTCTACCATGTGCACTTTTTCCTCTCTGTGATTCAAATTCATAGAAATTTTGAACCATCTCTTCATGAATGTACATTCTTCTCATTTCATCAAAAAAGTCTTGAGCAGGATCTCCTGAGGACTCTTGGAGCTTGCAAGAAGTATTGTAATTTCTCTGTCGAGAGTGGTCCATGATGGTTCTTTCAAGAGAGTGAGAATGATGGAATGTTTGAATGGGAGACTGAGAGCCATGATTCTTACTATTAGTAATAATACTTGAATGATGATGATGGTGAGGATCATTGATCGGAGCGTCCGAACGAGACCAATGATTAAACTGAGTGATGCAGTTCGATCTTAATGCTGAGAAGAGCCTACTAGTTCCAACAATGAATGGGTTGTGCTCCATTGATTGGAAAATGTATGGTTTCTGATTGAAAATGATGCTTGAATGAGTGGTAGATTTTGATTTTGATGGCAGCGAAGAAAGAAGAGTCCTCGCCTTTTGATGGTCACAGAGACGAAGTCTTCGAATCATTTTTGAATTGTTTGTCAAACAATTCAGGATAATTCCGTCGTAGAGATGTCATTGCAAAATTCAATTTCTACAAGAACATTTGGCCAAATACGTTCGTACACTACTACTACAAATTGGTTGAAGAGAAAAGAAGTATCAACAAAAGCCAAAGGTAGTGGTGATGATACATCCAACAATAGTACAACATTATCTTCCACAACATCCTCCTCCTCATTAGAACAACAGGAAACTCTCAAGTTCCATGATTACGACAGTTGGAACGCCCAACAAGTGGCATTCATGTTGACTTCTCCTAAATCTATTGGTGGTGCTGGGTTATCTGCAGAAAAGGTGAAGCCTTTGCAAGAGTTGGGCTTTGATGGCGAATCTCTCCACAACATTATTGAGAATATCAATATGGAGGGCATAAAGTATGCCATTGATCAACTGAAAAGTATTTACAACAAGAATGACATTCCTCAACTCTCTGAAACTTGTCAATCTGTTGTATTTTGGGTGCATAACTCTCTGCGGAAATTCACTACTGTTCCCTCTACTTTTATCCAATCAGTTTTGGATGATTTTGATAAACATGTACAAACCTATTCAAGAAACGAAAAAGAATCTGTACTCAAGTTCAATGAGATAATGAAACAAGTTCAACTCGACAAATCTGATTCTCCAATCTATTTGTACCAGAAGAAAGAGGACACAAATAACAATAATGAAATAACTCTATCCTCTTGGGCCATATCTTGCGATTTAGGTCCTACATTTCCTGCAAACAAATATGATGAACATTTTAAATTTATCACCTCGGGTAATATAACCCATCCAGTGTTGGCATTAATAGAAGCACCTGGAACTGGAAAAACTCACTTTGCATATCATTTAATTTCTAAAGGATATACTGTGTTAATTATACAATCAAAGCACAAAAATATCATATCGAATTCATTGGAAATGATATTTAACATTCTCACGAAACAGTTCTAATTTGAGAGGGTTATTAGATAGCGAAACAAAACGGTTCATTAAGTCATACTTAATTGTGGCAGATATTATTATTAATGCTAGATTGGATCCTAAAGATACTAATAAGACCAATTTGTATTTATGTAAATACATCTTGAATGGAGGTTTCAAAATGGTAGAAGAAGCTTATAACAATAATTATGAACAGCATGGGTTTTCTCCACAGCTGAAAAAAGTTATGTTTTTCATTGACGAGGCTCATGATTTTAACGACTTTGATGGCAAAGTTCCTCGAACAGCAAACGACACCGACAACGGCAACCTATTAACTCTCCTCACTTCAAATATGAGAGATTATGGAGGCGTAATATTAACAACAACCTTTGCAAGTGCTGTAGAAGGAAAAATTGAAATGAAAATATCTAAGGATGATTCTAAAGAAGTCTTTGAAAAGTTTTCATACCACTTTACAAACCCACTTCCGATATTGCACGCCAAACAAGTTAGAAAGTTTTTGGACATGTTTATAGATACCAGTAGAAAAGGCCACAATAATCCAGATATTTGGAATCTTGTTGCAACATTTTTACAAGGTCCAACCAGACGATGCGAAGAATTTCTTCAACAATTATATCTAGAGTTGTGCAAGGACTCAACACCTCAATTTAGATCTTTTACAGAGTTTATATATACAAATCTTTGCACTCTCGTTTTCAAAAAAAAGGGTTACGGACCAGAAAAAACTGACAATCCCTTATACAAGAGTTTGTTTTACCGATTAGCCTTGCTTGGAGAGGCAAATTTAACAGAAGCTTTGCATATTGTCTCAACACAAACAAGTATATCGGAAGAGATCGAAGATGCTTCCAAGTTCTTGTTAACACATGGGTTAAGTTATACTTTTGATTATACTAACAAAATATATAAGGTTGTCAGTCCAATAGAAAGGATGAGATTATTGAAGACTCTTCAACAATATGGGTCTAATGGTGATTGGTTTTTAAATTCTCACAAGCAATTAAGTAATATTGGTGATATTTCACCTCTCTCTGAAGTTGCTTCTGTATATTTTATTTTGAACCATTTTGAATTCTTTAAACAACAATTCCCAGGGACTTATTTGCAAAACTATTATTTAGCTGCAAAGTATTATGTTGAAGATTCAGAAATCTCCAAAGATTCATTGAATAATGACTTCAAAATTTCATCTCTTCTCATTAACACCATACATTGCAATATGAAAATATTTCAAACAGAGAAATATCCTTTAACTGGAAATGATGACGATCTTTTACCTCGATTTTTAGTCCTTCCATGCCACAATGCGGGTCCTGATGTATTGGGAATGTTAAAACGTTCTTCAAAAGTTAACGATGATACAATTCCATTATGTATTCCAATTGTTGCAGCAGTAACAAGGAAAACAGGAGACAATTTAAAATTCAAGAAAAATTACGCTACAACTGATCTTTCCAATTTGTATTATGAAAATTTGGAAACAAGTCGCTCTCCACCAACGAATGTCCTTACATTGAAAGAAAGAAATTCCTTGAACGCAGCTATTACTGACATTGTGAAAGCAGGAAAAATGTTGAGAATATTATTTCATCCAAATGAAACCTTCAGCAACACTCCTCTCAGTGATAGGATTCAACAATACGATCATGATGATGCACCGCAAATAATTTTCTCTGATCATGCAGTCCTGACAAAGAAGGGACATTGCATTTATGAAATTTCGAAAAATAATTCAGTATGGCAAAATTATCTCAACAACAATAACTTGTCTGTTGTGGCTGATGTATTTTAATAATGATGATTTCTTTCTTCTTTTAATGCTCTATTCTTTCAATAAAGTCTGTGATTCCAATATTTGGGCGAAGTGATGAACAAACTACATGAATTTTGCATCTCAGGATCTGTTATTTATGTGGGAGACTGAAAGAGTGGAGGCGGTGGTGGTGGATGAAAAGACTTTCGTTTTCACGGAATTTTTTTGAGGTGACGTATCACAAATAAATAGAACACAATTTAATTAAATAATTGGGATTGATCCAAAAATTCAATCATCTTTTCCATAGTTTTTCTAATTTGTGGTGAGTAATAAAAGAAAAGAGGATAGCCATGAATGTGACCATTTTCAGCAATGACTTGAACATGAGGATGTTTGCCATTTTGCAAAGTTTGCACCATCTTGACATTGTCAGCTGTGCATTCTTCATGATTACTGTAAACCAACAATAATTTCGTGGCATTGAATGAGGAAACGACAGTGCTGTCATAACCAATTGGAGAGTAAGATGATTTCTCCGTCGCATAAAGTCCTTGAATTAATTCCATATTATTCTTGCTGACAAGAATGGAATTTTCTTCGTCAAAGTTTTCTCCCAATGTTTTACCACTCAAATCAAAATAGCCAGAGGCCAATGCTGCAGCACGAGGAAGTTGTTCTGTGGCATTGGCTCCAATCTTGGCCAACAAATTCATGATCAACATGGGTCCAAAGGAGTCACCCATCATGACAATATTTTGAGGTTTGAAATTGTTTTCTTTCAACAACCACTGATAAGCATTCCAACAATCCTCAAGTTGATCTTCAAAATTTGCTGCATAAACATCACGCTTCTTCTTTTCATTTTCATCCAAACCAAGCAATCGATAATTCACAGAAAGCATGAATTTGATCGAGTGAGTATATCGTGAATCATTTAAAAACTCGACCACACCTCGTGCTTGTAAACCTGCTGCCAATCCTCCATAACCACCACCTCCATGAACATAAAACAATACTTTAGGTTCCTTACTCTTGTCCAAGTTGAACTCTTTCATTCGAACGAAAATGGAATTTCTTAAACTTTCAATGACTTGAATGCTTTCACAATTCCTTCCAGCTTCAATAGGAGGATACAAGGCTTGATGCTCCATTGATTTTCTTAATCCATATTTATCCAATTTTAATTGAGATTGACCGGCGAAGGCCACTAAACTATTCAACGTTTTTGCTTCAAGATCTAGATCCTTCCAATGGGGTCTCATCACACTTCCCATCATGAAAATACTCTCCTTCTTATTGGATCTTGTCTTTTCTGTCATCTCTGACAAACGTCCCAAATATTTGTTACGAGCAATCACTGTGTTCAAAAGACATCTAAAGATCATTACAGGAAGAGTGAGATGTCTGTTCCAATAGATTTGTAGTGCAATTCCAATGACTGGAATGAGTACAGAAAGAATCAAAAGTTGTTGTTTGAACATTTTTTTAAAACTGCCAATCAAAATTTCCAAGTGCATTACAAAATCATTTTTGGGGTTTTGATTGGCGAAAATCATCCTTGCCGATGACATGATGATATTTAACGAAGAATTAGCAAACTGCATGTTGATTGAATGTCATGAGTGAGGCAATGTCAACATTTTCAAAAGTTAATCAGATTCACTGGCTGTGGCCACCACGAAGAACTTCTTTTTCATATTGAAAATGGTAAAGGAAAAACAACCCCAATGTTCCAACCCAGGTTGCCAATAAATACTCCAACATTTTCTCCTCTGAATCGTTCCAGACCAATCAAAAATGTGATTTCCTTCATAATTTTCGTTAAATAAATATTCACGAATTTTCGAGAGAGTTTCTTCCATTTTCTCTTCTTGTCCTTTTCGAAGGTACAGACTATTGGGAGGTCGAGCACAGTATTTGAAAATATCACACGCTTTGAAATCCTCAATTCTCTCTTCGTGAGGCGTGTTGCTTACATGATGATATTTTAACACTCTTTCCATGTATGGATTAAGGGCAAGAATGTGAGGATGAGCATGAAAATGTATGAAACATTCTGAATTGAAATAATCTTCTGGAAGAGGTGATGTACAACGATCGGAAGCGTCGTCATCGGATTCGCTTTGATATTCCCCTTCTTTATAAATTTCCTCTTCATCTTCACTGTCATCGTTTAATTCATCATGTGGATGAACGTGACGGTTGTACATCCAGGACAATAGTCCTCCAGGTGTCGTTTTGAGAATATGTGACACGGTACTACTGTCAATGTTCCTTGTTGAATGACGGAGTGTCTCGTTGTTGCCGTCATGTTCTTCGCTGATATGAATGGATGCACTTGTCAATAGTGGGAACAAGGACGCTAATAGAGCAAATTTGTGAAATGCAACTTTTCTCTTCCTGTGGTGATTGTTGAGGATCGTGAAGGAGATGTTGTTAGAGGAAGAAGTAGTATTAGGAGCTGTTCTGTGTTGTTGATTCAGAACTGAGCTTGATTCCTCTTGATTAAGGTTTCCATCGTTTTTTTCTACATTGAATACAAGAAAAAGAACTGTCTCAAGTAATCGGCACGGTTTGTATAATGTCACACGAACTACACCCCCAAGTCCCAAATACTTTTTAAAATTCACGTCCGTTTCTTCATATTTCATATCATGTAGAGGCTCACGAATAAATTCTTTTAACAGCTCTCTAAAAAATTGATTTGTTGAATGTGAAAAGGAATGGGAAAATGGACTCAAACGAGCTGAATCATGATGATGCGATATGTTTGGTGTGGAATGGATGTTATTGAACTCGCTTTCGTCTTGGCCTTGCTGTTGGTCATTTGAATAGAATTGTTCTCTCAAGTAGTGAGACAATGGTAAATGTTTCAGAACACCTTCATGAAATTGATGTCTTCCGAACAGAAAATGATCGATATGGTATGAAAAGAATTGCTCGGAAATGAGTTCAAAGAGTGAATTCAAAAGGGAACATGCTTGTCGGAGAGAAGAAACAGATTTCAGATCTAGAAAGATGCAAATGTTGAATAGGGTGATGGTTGGTGATGATGATGCTTTTTGATGGTGGAAATACGTAAGAGAGGAGCAATGTTGTTGTGGTTGCAATAAATCAATGAATGATAATATGGAGGCCTTTCCAAGTGCTCGTTCCATGGACATTTCCGAATACGTGTGTGCCTTTCGATGATGATGATGAAATTAAATATTTAATTTTCAAATTATTGTGTATTCCTAATGAAAGCAAACACCTCAAAATGTCATGAATATTTTTTCAAATTTCATCATCACAACAAGTGAATAATTCGTCATCCAAATCCTAATCCTAATATAATAATAATAATTCTGTTTCAGCAACAGATCTCTAAACCCGAGAAGGAAGATACGCAATTTCATTATTGCGAATTTGTGTCAACACGTCTCACGATATTCTTTGCACGAGTTTCATACAAATGAGAATGAAAATCAATGCACTCCAAAAAGGTTTTCCTCTGCACCGAGTCTTTAATATCCTCCACAGAAATATCCTTTTTTGAATCAACAGCCAACTTGTGAACATAATTCATCATATCTTCATAAATTTCTCCACAAGGAGTCTTTTTATCATACAAAATATCAAAAAAACTTTTTCGTCCCGATTGATAGGCTATAATATCCTTTTGAGAAACGCTCGTGAATTTTTCGAAATCCCTGAAGCTATATTCCACCAAAACCTGATCATATTCAACGTTATCGTTAGATCTGGTGCGTTGTTGTTGTTGTTGAGAAGAAGGTGGAGGTGGTGGGGGGGCGAAGGGATCTTCCTCCTCATAACTGGTTGTATGATTCTTTGGCTGATCTGATGACATTTTTTTGGACGCCAAAAATGGTTAAATTCAAATAGATATCCCCAAAGAAGAGTCATAGAGCAAAGCAATGGCAAAGAAAGCTTTGGCAGGAGACCTACAAAAAAACTGTACAACAACTCTCATAATGATGGACACCATTAATCTTGTATCAAAATGCAAAGCCTTATTTGATGAATGTAAGGTTGTTTGATTTTACTTTTAGAGGTAAATAAAGTGATAGCTATCACATAATGATCGACCTCATGCATGCTGATTCTAATAAAAATACAAAAATTACAAGAATGGTAATGACAATTCACGTTGTCTTTCTGATCGTTTTTCAATCGTACCACTCACTTGATTTTCATAATATTGTGAATCGTCATTTCTAATTTCATCATCGTCTTCCTCTTCTTCATGCAGTCTCTGCATTCCATGAAGATCCTCTAATAAGCCTCCCATATATTGATTAATATGATGAGCTGTATTTCCCTTGCGAACGTGATACTCGACTTCAACTCCTTCCTCTTCGTTTTCAACATTCTGATGAGGATTCTGATGATGAGTTAACCGCACACCACCTTCATCCTGTTGAGAGAGAATTCCTAAATGAAGAGCCACTTCACGCGAAGGAGTATTGATACCCCTAGTACTCCTAGTACTTCCAACACCGCCACCACCACCACCACCGACTCCATTGTGGTATCCACCATGAATGGAATCATCCTCATCATTGTTGTTGATAGATAATGAGGAGGAAGAGTCTCCTTGTTGTCCCTCTTGTCTCATGAGTAATGATTTATCAATTTTAGTGGATGCCAATACCATTCCTTGTTCTCCAAGACTCTCTTGGTGGTCTTGCTGGAGTAATCGATCACGTCTTGCAGTCATGGATGAGCGTAAGAGAGATTTCTGAAGTGTCCAAAAACGTTTTGCCATCGGAGATTTTCCTCCACAACAAAACATGGCATAGAAAATTAATTGATAACTTTCCTTAAAGACCTTGTTGGAGGGAAAGAGGACATAGATGAGAGAGCCTCCAAAACCAATAATGAGAACACTTGCAAAGAAAGGTGCAAATAAATAGTAGAATCGTGTGAGAGGATATGTGCCGTTTTGACTTTGGTAGATTCGACATGCAATGTCAAAGACCATGTAAAATCCAGGAAAGATGGCAAGCAGACAGGCTGCTCCTAGGAATTTTGTGAACTGGACAACATTCATGGAGTTAAATAGGTAAAGAATTTTCAAATTGAGTAAATTAAAAAAGACAAGATTAAGATGAATTTCCACGAGCATCGTCATACTTACTCTAAATTGGAAAAAGTTAACCTTGGAAACTCTTCTCAAGCTTAAATAAATACGAAATCCATAAATAAATAGTCCAAAAATTACAATTGCAAATACAATAACCAATCCAAGCATGAAAACAGCAGAGGCAAAAAATTGTGAAAAATAATCTGAAATGGCATACGCCAAAACTCCCAATAAACCCAGAGCCATAAATAGAAAAAGTGGAATAGATATTTTTAAGGATATTCTTTCACTGTTGTTGGAAGTCTTTTTCAAAACATCGACCCACATGGCTAGAATTGGAATAATTCCAATGAGGCAAAAACCAATTCCTGATAAAAACAAAACACTCTCTGATTTGACTGCTGCTGATGAACTTTCTACAGTGGATGAAGCTGCTAAAATGTCACTTGATAAAAAGCATAAATATGCCACTTGTAAAATAATGGCTGAATATAAACGTAAATCGAAAAGTATTCGTTTCCATGTTCTGTTATGATGCAAACTCGTCGTTGTGGAATAGAACCGAGTTTGTTCCATCTTGTTATATTTTTCAACCATCTCACGTGTGTTCATTAATGCTGAAAATTGTGGCAATTTCAATGCCTTTCCTTTTGATTTCATTGCAATCTCTTTACAAAACTGAGCAATGAGTGGAAGGAGTACCAAGAAGAGCATGAAAATATTCAACATGGCTTCTAAGGTGATGAGTGCAATATTGAGTAATTTTGTCTCGTAAAGAGGATACCAGAAATATGCATATTCATCGCACTGTAGTAATGTATAGAGTATTTCGAAACACATTAGTGTTCATTCATTGAAATTTTTCCAAAGATCATTGTAGAAAGAATCCAAACAGTCAATGATTTTGTCAATTCAAAATATTCCAATTTCTCAATTAAAAGAAATCAACTCATAAACCCAAACGTACCTGCGATGAAACCTTTGTTCTAAAAAATGTATAATTAAAAATCATGACATCTATTCCATTACTTTTTGGAACGACTGTTCCGGGTCTTGGACAATAACATAATGGTTCAGCATTCATGCTCATTACATTTCTAAAAATGTTATCCCTTCTCTGAACAATCTCAATAAGTGGATAACCAGGAGTATCACCATCATCAATAACTCCATTATTATTAGAATCATAATAGCAAGTGAATGGATAATCCAACGTAAGGCAAACTTCTCTTCCTGGCGAGATGGGATACTTTCTATAGTCACGACAAGCTCTGCAAACCGTATAGTAATCTGCAATGTGTTGCAAAGTTGTGAAATTGAATGGTAAATGAGGGACAAGAATATGCATGAGCTTATTGTAAGCAGGTGATACTACAAGTGATTGAGGATCAATACTGTACGTATTGTCTTCGAAACTTTGAGCCCATTTTTGAAAGAATGAAAGCGCAACACGTTGTGGAAATAAATTTGTGTAGATAGTTGTGTTAGTTAAGAGTTGTGTGAGATTGAGTCCAAATGGTGATTGAAAATCATTGACTAATTGTAAAGTCGTGTTTGGAAAACAAAATAATCGATCACACACTTGTGTGTAATCAAAATTAAATGTCACATTCCTCACCACAATTGTTCCATTCACTAACGCTTTGTAGGAATATGTAAATTTTTCATAGAGTTGACACATGTTCATTTCAGTCCCGAAATAATATAATATATCCTCGGATGGATTTGTCATTGGAACATATCTTCGCCATTTGTTGATCGTAAATTGTGGACACGAAAGTGCATTGGGTTGATCTTCAAATTTTGTTGTCCATTCTGTTTGATTATACAGTGGAACTCTTGCATTCAATATTCTGTCCAAGTCGGATGAATAAGATTGCTTTCTATTTTTCGGATCTCTCAAGAATTCATCCCAATACATTCTATAAATGGCATAAGGGCAAGTGGTAGTGTTAACACTATTTGTGGGGTCTATTGGCGGTTGTTGTTGTTGTTGGTCTTTTGTGGATGATTCATCATGAATTGATGCTTGTGATGATGTTGATGATGGTTGAAAGGTCATGGATGGTTTTGTTGTGCTTGACATTTCGTGATGATACGGAGCTTGTGGTGTGGAAAGATGACGGTGATTTTCAAGAAGGGATATGAAGAGAGGTCTAGAAGCATTTATTTGGACATCAAGAAGAGGCGATGTCGCAATAGAAGATGCTTGGATTTCGGTATTCGAATCCGCATGGATGTTGTTGTGATATTCATTGATGAAAGAGGTGGGATCATTCAAATCAATAACAGAATTGCAAGAGATGTGTGAATCATCCATTTGAGGAGAAGAACTGGCATCTGTTGTTGTTGTCGCCGTAATGCCAGTGATGAGCGTGGTGATGATGACGATCATAATAAAAGCAACGATCATCATCATTTTCATGAACCATGAGGAAGGATTCTGTTTGTGATATCCATCTTGATGATGAAACATTCGAGTTAAATGATTCCAATAAATTAGTGTTATTGTGTGTATTGTTGATGAAGATAGAGTGTGAGAAAAAAGTCGTGAGAGGTTTGTCAGCCCGAGCGAGAATTAAACGCTGCCAACTGTGCGCCTTCTTTTTTGTGTTGAAAATCGGAGTTTCGAAAGGTCAAACCTTTTAGAGGAGTCCACTGAACGAGTGATAACATGGATGTTGTTGTGTCCATTCATATTGGCCACTGAACGAGTGATTGGTTATGTCCATTCATATTGGCACAAGGTTGAATAAGGACTGATATAAATTAGGGTTTTTTAATTAGGGTTGAGAAGAGGGACAACCAATACCTCCCTGTGATGTCCTCTCATGTGAGTGCATGAACACAATGCGCAAGCTTTACACAATCTCTCTCATGATGATGGATACAATGAAGTGTCAGTGATGATTTGGATCATACTCTCAGTACTATACTACTACTGCTTTGTTTTCTTCGTCTCAGAGGAGGAGGCATTAGCAGATGGCACATCCTCCGCGATTGAGCTCTGATCCAATTTTCTCTTTCTTGGTTGTAGAATGTGTACTTCAGTTTCAGCTTGTTGTGCGGATGAGGAGCTTTCAGCACTGTTATTATTTCCAAATCCTAGTTGAGTGGTTCCCATTCGATTCGTAATGACCTCGCTGAAAATCTTGCGTGCATCAATTCTCTCAGGTGATGGTATTCCTCCTGATTGAACATGAATCAACGTATTTCTCATTTCGATAATTCGTTCCTTCAAATCTGACACGATGGACTTGTCGTTTTCGATGGCTTTTTGTCGAAATTCAACCGATTGTTGGAGAGCCTTCTCTGCTTTTTCATACAATTCTAAAACCTCTTCTCCTTCAATACCGTCCGTCGTGAGACAGTTCACAATTTCTAGATTTGTCTCAGCAATTTTTTGTAACAAATCGACTTTAAAATCATCTCTCTTGTGGAAAATGTTTGCTGCAAGTCTAAATAAATTAAATCCAATGTCATCCGATTCTTCCAACACTTTTTCATAGATTTGTAAAGCCTTTCTATATTCAAGAACAGCCTGTGAAAACATGTCAGTCTCAGCACTCAATTCTCCCAATAGAGAATGCACACGAGCAAGTTTCATTCGATAATTGAGTTGCATTTCACTTGGAGATGTCACATTGCCACTCACCAAATATCGTAACATGGAAACACGAGCTAACTCTAACACTCCCCAAGCTACTTCAAAACAATCTTCTTCTTCTTCGTCTTCTTCCTCTTGTTGGTCGTGTTCCGTATATCCTTGTTCTCTCATTTTCCTCTTTTTAATAGCACTGGTCACTTGCTTTGAAACCAAATTATCGGCTTGATAGCGACCACGTGCAATCAACATCTCTGCATAAGGAATGAGGATTTCTCCACACTCCACAGAGGTCTCTCCGAATTGCTCCTCACGATCCCTCACAATTTGATTGCCCATGATTTCAATGGCTTCATCCAGAAAGGTGAGTGCTTGTTCCAATTCTTCTCCTTCCAACTGTTTTTCTGAAGCATTGATTCTTCTCTTATATTCACAATAGTTGTCGAGAGCCTTCAGAAGAGCATCTTGATTCATCACGAGATGATCCTGGAGTGAAATTTCATTGCTTGAATTTGGTAATTCCTCTCCTCCGACATCATCATTCTCCTCTTCGAGAGCACCTTCCACAACTTCGTCAATCTCGGCAAGATCGTCCTCTGCCGTGGGAACGTGTGTGTTGATAGTGTTTTCTTCCTCAGACATTGAATACAAAGATGATCAAAAAACGTTTTAAAATTTTTTTAAAAAATTTTTATTTGAGTGGCGCGTTGTTTTGCTTAACGGAAAAGTGCTCCCGATAATAAATAATTCAATAATGACGGATAATAAGAGTGTTCTTCCACCTCCCCATCGTTGTCGTACTCAATTAATTCAAGGTTGTTTTACGGTTGTCGAACAAAAGCACTAATGTCGTTCATTGCGCCTTTCATTAAGGCGCACATTTTTTCATCCACTGACCCAGTCTCATTTATTTGAAAAATAAAGGATTCATTCTCAAATGCAAACTCAATCCAAAAAAAACCAAAACACATCAACTGCTGTTTTCTTTATTATAAACAGCCAACACACTTCTAACAAAACACTCATATCAGCACACACAAAAAACTTCTTAGAAACTGTTGCCACACACTCCACCCCATTCATCAAACAACAGCAGCACAACAGAAGCGATCTACAAAGACGCTCGTTTGCAACTCTTTGAACAAGACAAAGATCTTCTTCAAAGAGTGAAGGCTGAAATTTTTACTTCGGTTCTTTGTGCTCCGTATCGTTCTTTCGTGATGAAGAGAAATCCTCCTCCTAGTTGTACAACAGATGCTATCGCCACCACCATGACACAAGAATCATCACCACCATCACTCAAACATGTACATTTAGTTGAGAAAATCCATCAGGAGGCAACTGCTGATGATGCCCAATCTGCATCACTGAATATGGGATCTACTTCATTGAGTCATGGATTTGATGAAGATGATGATGATGATGATAATTCATCAATGGATTCACTTTCATCCGATGCATCCGCTTCAAGTATTGGACAATTGTATAACCAACGCAACAATCATGCCACCATGATGACTCAAAACGTTTGTGCCGACTCTTACAGTACTCTCCCACCTATGCAAAATGTGTTTTATTTGGGAGCCACTCATTTGTATGGAAACACCAACAACATGACTTCAGGAGAATATCCATCAGTCTTGTCATTGAGCGTTCAAGAAGACCCATCTTTTCTCAATAGTTTCTATGATGATGGTTATTGCAGACCATTCAAACTCAGAGTTAAAATCAATGATTTGAGTGAGAAACTTCCTGAGGGAATTTACACTGGTCTCGTGGATTCAATGACCTTGTTGACTTTGACAAAACCTTATAGCATGTTGAGTACCAAGGTCACTGTTCGTGAAGGAACCAATAATGAAGTGATTGGACAAGTTTCAAAGGATCTTTTCAAGAGAAACTTTAGCGTCAAATCCACTGTGAGCAATAAGATACTTTACAAAATTGTCCAAGAAAAGAACAACAATGCGACCATGTATGGTTCACCTTCTACTGAGAATTATTCAATTTATGAACAAAAGGAAAAGATCGGAATGATCATGGTCAAGAAAGGAAAAGAATTTCGTCTCGATGTTCCACCTTCCTTAACTCCTGAAGATAAGGCACTCTTGTTGTCTGCCATGATTCTCATTGTTTTTACTTATTATGAAGATGCCAAAAGTCAAACTTTCTTTGCCAAGAATTGCAAGAAAAAGCAATACACTCACTATGTTCCACCAAATTTCAACAAGAATGAAGATGGTGGCTTCTATGGATCCAAGAATGAACGCTCTACTCATGCTACCTGCGGTTATCAACAGAGCAAGATTGATGACTTGATTCCTGAATCCAATCGTTATTTATGACGATCTCACCTTGCTGGTTTGCTGATCATTTTGTTCATCAATGCAATGGTTAACATTGAAGACATCAAACATTCAAACCAGCAAGGATTGTTCATTAACCAACAATCATCTCAAAACATGTCTACATTCAATACTTGTAACAACAAGCAATTGACAACCGTTCATTTTGTGATGCATTCAATTACCACTGACAGAATGAAAAGTACTGCAACATGTTATTACAACACAATCTTAGTAGAAATGTCAAATAATAACAATAAACCTTTATATTCAAAGCACCAAACGTGGCCGTGTTCCAAACTATCTGTTTACGTGTGGCATTCCTTTTGCATGGGTGCCTTGTTCATTTCATTGAACCAATTAGAGCATTCGACCAAGATGGAATTTGAAACTGACAAATTTTCATGTGTATAGTGTGACGACGACAACTTGAATGGACAAAAGACTCTTCCTACTTTGAGGGTTTGTTCGTTTGAATTGTGTGGACAATCACCAGAAATACTGCTTGACCATCCTTTTTTCTCTTTCGGCTTTTAAAACGATTGGAAAAAAATTGTTTCAGTGAGATCAATCAACGCCCTTCTCTCATAAAGAGCGCATTTTGAAAAGAAGAAGAATCGTTCAAAGGTGGTGTGAGCATCCAAGAGAGGTTGTGTTTTGATGTTGTTGTTTGTGAATTGATTGATTTGATTTGTTTTTGAAAATCATTTGACACCCTCATCCCAAAGAGAGTCATCACAATACACTCCCACGTTTACATTGCACAACAACCATCATCACACACCATTCTTTTTTCATCAACAACCACACACTTCATTCCCTGCCAAAAGTCAAGCACTCTCACCACTCATCACTCTATCATCAACAAGATATTAATATTCAAACTCACAAAAACAACAACAACACTTGTACAACCATAACCATAACTATAACCACAACAACCACAACAACAACAACTGCTACTACTTCCTTGTTTCAACCCGAACCGATTATTATTCATATATTTCTTACCTTGAATTCACTCTTCCTTGTTGTTCATGAACAACACGACACCATCAATCACGATTCAAAACAACTCTCATACAACAACTTGTGCTTCCACTACCTTCACCATCAACTTGAATCCTTCTCAACAACAACAACAGCGATTATTGCAAACAACCACTCCTCATCAGCATTTTCGTTCCTTTTCTACTCCCATCACAACTAACCTGATGCCACCACAAAACTCTACACTCTTGATGATGAATTCGACGAGTACGAGTGGAGGAAATGTGAACTCTCCTTCCTCCTCAAATCAACATTACCAATTTCACATTACTTCTGCATCATCGAATAATCATTTGAATAATTCTTCTTCCAATCATCATCTTCAAGTGAATCATCATCTCAATAACATCAACAATAATAATAACAATAATAATAACAATAACAACAGTGGTATTAATTTGAGTGGACTCTTATTGAAAAATCGATGGAAAATTCAAGGTTTATTGGGACAAGGTAGTTTTGGATCGATTTATTCGGCACATGATTTAGTGACGTCGGATGAGGTTGCCATCAAGGTGGAAAAGATTCAATTAACGAAAAACAACTTGTCACCATCAACATCGAATGGCGTTCCAGCTTCTCCACAAAACGCCATTCCACACACTTCTTCGCTCAAAGTTGAAGTATGCGCACTGAAAAACCTTCAATCCTGTCGATATGTTGTCACGTATATTCACAGCGGTAGACAATATGTAAATTATGGAACTGATACAATAGCTCTGAATTTTCTAGTGATGGAAAGATTGGGAGAAAATCTTGCAGAATTGAGAAGAAAAACCTCGAGTGGAGTTTTTTCAATTGCAACCACAATGCGATGTGGAGTTCAAATGATTGAATGTGTCGAAGAGGTTCATAAAGTTGGATTTCTTCACAGAGATATCAAACCGGCCAATTTTGTTACAGGAAAATCAAAGAACACTCAAGGAAGAATTTATCTCATTGACTTTGGCCTTGCTCGAGCTTTTAAACACGAAGATGGAAATCTGAAACCACCTCGAAAAGATGTTGGATTTAGAGGAACACCTCGATATGCAAGTGTGAATGCACACAATGGAATTGAGTTGAGTCGACGAGATGATTTATGGTCGATATTTTATGTGATGGTGGAAATGGTTGGAGGTGAGTAGTTGATGTCTGTTGTTGAGTTTCAAATTTAATATTCAAATTTGTTGTGACTTGTATTTGGTCATTCAACTATTGTTGTTGATTCACTTGCTGATCGTGTTATTGGAATGAAAATTCTTTTGGAATGATTTTGGAACACGATTTCGGAACAACCAAATGGTCATAGGTAATTTACCGTGGAGGAGAATTCGTGACAAGCCAACTATTGGAAAACTGAAAGAAACTCATACCTTTCAAAACACTGAAGAATTACTCCGTGGCTTACCACCACAATTTTCGACCATGTTAAACTACCTGAAAAAACTTTCCTTTGAATCCGAACCTGACTATGAATATTTGAAGAATATTTGTAAATCCTATTTCTCTCCTCACAAAGATTCCTTCGATTCTAGAACCTATGATGAGTGTCAATTTGAATGGGTTACAATATCAAATGATCTCAACCATGACAGTCATGATTTATCTCAGGAATTCATCATTACCACAAATCCAGACCGAACCGACTCGAGATCAAGAACTACCAAGTTATCGACCTCTGTCTTTTTTGGATCCACTCATCTAAGTGCCAATAGCAACCTTGGAAATCAAGCAGCATTGAGCAATGGTGGAAGTGGTGGAGAATTTTCAAAATCACTTCCTGACATGTATAAAAAGAAGAGCAATCATGAGGAGGACATGAATGAAGAGGCAGCAGCTCCTGGAAAGAAGAGACAAAAGAAAAAGAAGAAGAATGGAAATGACGATGATAATAATCATGACAACTCTAAACATCAGTTAGGATTACGACCTGAGAAACAGCCACATTGTAAATGCACGATCATGTAAATAACCAAGATATAATGTTTTATTTTTGCAAAGCTTCAAAATATGCCTTCTTGTCATGATGTCACAGTTGGGCCTGTGCATTAAAATGCCAAAAGCTTTGATTTTTTCAAATTCTTCAAGTTTTGAGTTTTGCTCTGTTGAATGAAAGGACAAAAAATGAAACATACGAAAAAACACATGATTTGGATCAAATTCGAATTAATTTCCCTTGTTTTTGCTTGATTTCGTGGTTTTTTCTTGATTTCCTCGAATTTTCACTTTTTAATGCAAAGAGTCAACTTTGGGTTTGGGTTTGGGTTTGGGTTTGGGTTTGGGTTTGGGTTTGGGTTTGGGTTTGGGTTTGGGTTTGGGTTTGGGTTTGGGTTTGGGTTTGGGTTTGGGTTTGGGTTTGGGTTTGGGTTTGGGTTTGGGTTTGGGTTTGGGTTTGGGTTTGGGTTTGGGTTTGGGTTTGGGTTTGGGTTTGGGTTTGGGTTTGGGTTTGGGTTTGGGTTTGGGTTTGGGTTTGGGTTTGGGTTTGGGTTTGGGTTTGGGTTTGGGTTTGGGTTTGGGTTTGGGTTTGGGTTTGGGTTTGGGTTTGGGTTTGGGTTTGGGTTTGGGTTTGGGTTTGGGTTTGGGTTTGGGTTTGGGTTTGGGTTTGGGTTTGGGTTTGGGTTTGGGTTTGGGTTTGGGTTTGGGTTTGGGTTTGGGTTTGGGTTTGGGTTTGGGTTTGGGTTTGGGTTTGGGTTTGGGTTTGGGTTTGGGTTTGGGTTTGGGTTTGGGTTTGGGTTTGGGTTTGGGTTTGGGTTTGGGTTTGGGTTTGGGTTTGGGTTTGGGTTTGGGTTTGGGTTTGGGTTTGGGTTTGCTTGGGTTTGGGTTTGGGTTTGGGTTTGGGTTTGGGTTTGGGTTTGGGTTTGGGTTTGGGTTTGGGTTTGGGTTTGGGTTTGGGTTTGGGTTTGGGTTTGGGTTTGGGTTTGGGTTTGGGTTTGGGTTTGGGTTTGGGTTTGGGTTTGGGTTTGGGTTTGGGTTTGGGTTTGGGTTTGGGTTTGGGTTTGGGTTTGGGTTTGGGTTTGGGTTTGGGTTTGGGTTTGGGTTTGGGTTTGGGTTTGGGTTTGGGTTTGGGTTTGGGTTTGGGTTTGGGTTTGGGTTTGGGTTTGGGTTTGGGTTTGGGTTTGGGTTTGGGTTTGGGTTTGGGTTTGGGTTTGGGTTTGGGTTTGGGTTTGGGTTTGGGTTTGGGTTTGGGTTTGGGTTTGGGTTTGGGTTTGGGTTTGGGTTTGGGTTTGGGTTTGGGTTTGGGTTTGGGTTTGGGTTTGGGTTTGGGTTTGGGTTTGGGTTTGGGTTTGGGTTTGGGTTTGGGTTTGGGTTTGGGTTTGGGTTTGGGTTTGGGTTTGGGTTTGGGTTTGGGTTTGGGTTTGGGTTTGGGTTTGGGTTTGGGTTTGGGTTTGGGTTTGGGTTTGGGTTTGGGTTTGGGTTTGGGTTTGGGTTTGGGTTTGGGTTTGGGTTTGGGTTTGGGTTTGGGTTTGGGTTTGGGTTTGGGTTTGGGTTTGGGTTTGGGTTTGGGTTTGGGTTTGGGTTTGGGTTTGGGTTTGGGTTTGGGTTTGGGTTTGGGTTTGGGTTTGGGTTTGGGTTTGGGTTTGGGTTTGGGTTTGGGTTTGGGTTTGGGTTTGGGTTTGCTTGGGTTTGGGTTTGGGTTTGGGTTTGGGTTTGGGTTTGGGTTTGCTTGGGTTTGGGTTTGGGTTTGGGTTTGGGTTTGGGTTTGGGTTTGGGTTTGGGTTTGGGTTTGGGTTTGGGTTTGGGTTTGGGTTTGGGTTTGGGTTTGGGTTTGGGTTTGGGTTTGGGTTTGGGTTTGGGTTTGGGTTTGGGTTTTGGGTTTGGGTTTGGGAGCAAT